TCACTGAGTATTCTCATGAGAAGAAGCTTTTATTGACCGACAGTAAATAACGTCCCTGAACTTAAAAAAATGGGTGGATTTAATCTTTATTTTGTGAGGAAAATGATCCTGCACTTTCTAAAAGATAAAGACAGGCTAATGCTAACCCCTATTTCTGTAAAGTCCCATACAAGTCAATTGAAAGGCCATTTTCCTTCTCGTTTTCCCGATAAACCCTGATGTCTTTCAAACTCCACATCCCCAGTGTGTAGAACAGAATTTCTGATAGTAATAGTAATCTGCATCGTCTGCCTGTCCTGTCATTAATTCAGTAGTCTGGACTTGCTGGGGGAACAACAGTTTGGGAACAGAGCTCTGGGTCCCGCACACCCCCAACAGAGGAGGATTAAACATGATGCTGTTGTTCTGCTGTGTCAGGGAAGAGGCCATGTTTTAGAAAATAATCTCATAACAGTATCGTGGAGGGAAAACCTGTATTATGATACACAATTACCCGTGTGTGTGTCAGCACTTACTGTCATACTGAACAGGTCCACTGTCCACGCTGCCGCCCAGTCCTGGCTTCTCACAGAAGGGGGGGGCCCACCCGCGATTACAGTGGCAGTTCCCATTACTGTTACACACCTATGCATACACACACAAATGCAACAGTTCATGTGATTTGCTGTTCGGTCTCAGTATAATCTTGTATGTATAATCAAATTAGAAGCACTCATTTATTGGTTGCTACAGGTTACTGCATGTGTTCTAATGGGATTTCCCTTCATACACCTTTACATATTCCCCTAAAATGGAGCAGAACACTGACATAACAGGCAATGATATCCCACAGCTGTGTGCTTCCATCATCTATGTACAGTTTACATTTGTATGTATTTTTGGTTTCTGACTGCTTAAATGGGTAATACTGTTCAACTGCCCTGAGACCCAAACCAACAGCGACCCTAAAGGCACCAGGTTCATTGAGTTCATTTGGATTCATTTGTTTAGTATCATACTCCACTAAAGCATATATGAACTGAAGTGGACCCTCTTAAATAAAAGTGCGTCCTACACATATATACCGTATATATATATATATATATATATCTGTTATATATATCTGTATCAACATTTGTTTTTGTGTTGATTCTAATCAATGAAAGACACATAATGGCACTGCTGTGTGGACTACATGCATTGAGTACTTAAAGGCAACGTGAAATACACACAAAGAATATACACATATTGCAAAGTGTAAAATAAAATAGGTTAATAGGGCTCCAATTAACCCTTGGTGGGTGTTACATGCAACACAACTTTTCATAAAAACACGGCTAGTGTGTGTGTGCAATAGGCCAAAAGAGTAATTGTATAATTTCAGTACTGTTAAGCGTAATATTATATATAAAATACCTTTTGGTGGATGATATAACAATATAGCTAACTTGTTGAAGCATAAGGTTCAACCTTTTTCCACATCTATAAAGAAATGAATGAACAAATAAATACATACATAAATCAGTAAATAAATAAAGCTAGTAATTTCACCACACCAGATTTTGGAGTAATGACCAGTAAGCTGCCACCTTTGTGTCAAAACGTTGCATAAGTCGAAATAAAAACCTCCCTTTACTTCCCCATATTCAAACCACCTTGAAGGGATTGTAATGAACTTGTCTCAAACTTGTGAAAATAAACTTTTTATGTAGAGGCTAGCATTTAAAACTTGATTATTATCTTCAATCATCTTGTCTTATTCCCCACCGCCAAGAAAACACTGCCATGCTCCGACTTCATCAATATGTAATTATCCTATCAGTGATTAACATGCCCATTTAACCCATTAGCACTAGGTCGACATGGAGGGGGCACAGTTGTTCACTATTTCTGGTACCTCTTTAACTTTAGGAGGCCGGCCCTGACCAATTTGCTGCCCAAGGCAAGATTTTAGCTAGCGCCCCCCCCCCCCAAAATGCAGACACTCACTATGACTCGCGCATGCATGCACGTGCACGATTGTGGCATGACCACCAAAACAGAAAGATATGGACACAAGATGTGTGCAAATGTATTTAGTATCCTATCCATTTGAACATGATTTAAGTGGGGGGGGGGGGGGGGGACCTAACATCCTCTAGGGGGGGGCATGCTCCCCCGAGAAGATTTTCTTTTTTTAAATATTGAAGTTAAAAGCATCAATCTGGTGCACTTTGAGAGCAACATTAGGAGATCTATGGATACCTCTCTCAACACCCAGATGAAACAGAACTGTAAGCAGATTTTCTTTTTATTTATGGATACTTTACAAATCACTCCCCTTTCAAACTGTTTTTTTTACTGTCATATAGTATTTTATACTATGAGAGAATAGATGAAAAATCTATTCTCTTATTTGTTTATAACTATAATGATCATATAAAGGTGTGCCTTTACCTCACTGAGCTGAGGTTATCAGAGCCTCTCAGTCTTTCAGAAGAGAGCTCTCTAAAGCTCTCCCCCCGCGGGCCGCTTACACAGTAAATTCCAATGTTAATAAAAGCTGTATACGTTGTTTGGGAGTTTGATTAATTTTAAATTAACACAAATACAAAAATTAAAACCTATAATTGCACACTAAAACCATTATTTAAAAAAAAAAACTATTTCACATAAACCTCTGGTTGTTACTGGAGCTGGGGCAATTCCACTTGATTTTGGGGGGGGGGGGGGGGGGGGGGGGTGCGCCATAGTTTATGGACGCTGTACGCAATATAGGCGTAGTTCTGTTAGTATAAGATAATAAGATGTACTTTGTTGATCCAAAATCGTGAAATTGTGTTGTTATGAAATAAAAAGAATATATATTTTTGATTGATGCGCCCTTAGCATTCGCCTATACTGCCTATGCCAAGGGCCGGCCCTGCCTGGCGGGTGTTTCTTTGTGAATATAAGCTTTTTCAGTTTTTGAAAAGCAGTTTTGTCAGTAATATTCATACATGAAAGGTAAACCTTTATGAAATAAAATGCCATGACCTTGATTTATACACATCATTGATAAATAACTTAATCTGTCGGAGTAAGAATATGTTTTGTCTTTCTTTATTGAGAATTTGTTAAATAGATGCTAACCAGTTGAACTTTCAGAGGTGAGCAATACTCTACTTCCCTGCTCATTTTCCACCTTTATTTGTATGGATATCCAGTGCACTCCCAAAGCCCGAGGATCATGATTAATCATATGATAATGCTAAATTACAAAACGCAGGAGCACGGGACCCTAAACTGGGGGAAGGCAAAATGGTCTATTTAGAATAATCCTGACTCAAAGCCACTTCCATTATCCATCTGATGTTACACTGACAGGAGAGAACAACAAAGGGTCAAACAGCATACAACAACATAGTGAAGAAAGAGAGCAAGAGGATTAAAGGAGGACAGGATATAGGCCTATATTGTGTTTTTCTTTTCTATCCTAAAAGTCTAAATCATAATCAAATAAACTGCCTGGTTAGCCTGTTGCTTAGAAAGTAAAAAACACATGTTTTTAGCCAAGGTTTGATAGAAAACTGTATCTGCAAGCTGGGAAAAAAAGACGGTGCTAGAAGCCACGGCTACTTTAGCTACAGCTAAAAACGCTAGCCAACAGGGGAACGCTAACGCTAATGGACAATGGCCATGTAATATTAGGAAAAGCACAGGTGTATTAGATAGCTGTATTCCAGCCTGTGTTGTAGTGCATGTAGACTCACTGCTACAGCTTACTGGGACACTTGGAAATTAGATATGAAGTATATAAGTTATACGATGAAAAAGGCTGATAGCTCTCCAAATGTCATAACTGATAGCTAGTAAGCTAGGTGGCATGGTTGCTAACCGAATGAAACAATGATAAGAAGCACAATTTGTATCTATACTGCTGTCTCATAACTGTCTGCAAATCACGTATCTGTGGTGAAGCAATTTATAATCCACTAGATCGAGTTTATAACCTGACAGTCTCTGACCCTGGAGCAGTGTAACTAAATGGTACATTGACAGTACTTATAGCACTTTATCCAGTCTTTACGACCCCTCAACGCGCTTTACATTTACAAGTCATCATTCATCCATTCACACAGAGCAATGTGTCACTTGCTCAGGGAAGCTAACTTTCAAACAAGACATTCATATACCGTTAGCCATGCCATCGGGACCAACTCGGGGTTCAGTATCTTGCCCAAGGATAGATTGACATGTTGACTGTAAGGCCTGGGAGGCTGCGATCGAATCGACATCCTTTTAATGGAAAGATGACGGCACACCACTTTAATATGCTTATACCCCATCATATCTCTAACGGACACCAGCTGTCAGTGAGGAACCACAGCCTGCCAGCTCAGAGGCAGGAGGAGTTCTGATGTAACTCCAGAGTCCTGTTGTCTTTCTCTCAATACTAGATTTAACACATTTTAAAATATCCATGAGGGATCTTAGTGGGACTTTAACGCTTTAGATATGATGATGGCAGAGAGGCTTAACTTTGAATTTGTAACTTGTAATGAATCTGTAATACAGCATACAACTGAAAACCCAAAGTTTCCACATGTATTCAAACTGGAGTAAGGCTTGGAATAACAAGACAGAGGACCTGGGGGGATAACAGTCAATTGTTCAATTCTGAATGAAAAAAAAAACAGGATTTATTTTCCTTTGGCTGTGCAAATATTACACTGCAGACAAAAGCACGTCAGCAGCTCTGGTCTGAAAGCCCTCAGCTATCAGAAACACCGTGGTGCTGGAACAATGGCAACTGCCATATTGCATTACACTGCTGTTTGTGTCCTGAGCCAAGCGGAAACAGAGACAGAAAAATGAAAAGGTAAATCTGAGACCGGCTCAGCGTTTCATTTTGCTTCTAAGATCTATTGTCAAGGGTAACTGATCAACTAGTAATTCAGTACGATGTGTGTGTGTATAGTATAACATTTAATCTATAACACATGATCTGATCAACCTGAACATCTGAATGTCATTTGGTGTCCTTTAGCAGGGATGATTTCATCTTTACTGCTACACACACATGCTTCATATTTAAGGCATCCATCTGTCCATCCATTGTACTTTTTTCCGTCTCTTTCTATACTTTGTTGTAACAATGTACTGTATATTCCAATTTGTGGACGAATAAAGGAATCCTCATTCTGATAAATCTATCCATGTTTTATACCTGCCTATCCTTTGAAAACTCATGAAATGCACACATAGGCTTTAGTCTATGTTAGATGGGGTTCCTTGAACAGCCAATTCAAAGTATCCACACCATGTAATTAAACCTCACTGTTCAATAACTACTTTGAAGGTCAAAATCAGAGTTTCCTGATAAATAACACCTATCTGCATCACCATCTTCTCTCTGAATAACAAGTGTTTAAGCCCCAAACACTCCACTCCGGAGCTTGGTTGCTGACTTATAAACTATGTATGATTTCTCGCTATCTGCCTCAGGCTTTGTTGTACTGCTCCGATGAATAGTTCATCACTTCAGCTGCTGTTGTATTCCAGCCATCTATTTTCCTGCCGTTTACGACAGCCTCTCAGTGACAGCGCTGCAAAACTCTACCTTCGCCCAAGGACACAGTGTGACAATAAGATTAGGGAGCTAGGCCTGGCAGCCAAGTGAGTTGAGTCTGTTGCACGGCTCCATATGCTTGAGTGTTTGTGTGTGTGTGTGCGTGTGTGTGTGTGTGTGTGTGTGTGTGTGTGTGTGTGTGTGTGTGTGTGTGTGTGTGTGTGCCTACCCCTTTTCCGTGACAGCGTGTGATGCAAGTCTCCAGCTCGGTAAAAGAGGCATTTTGGCATCGGCGGTCTCTGCACACCTGTGGAAACACAAGCAGAGAGATCACATGCTGTGTTAGAGATTACAATGCACACTCGGACACACACTCACACACTGTGATCTGCCTTCTACCTGGCTTTGGAACAACCTGACTGCCTGAAGAGATTGGCCAAGTAGCAACAGTATCCTGTTTTGAAATCGCTTCCAAAATCACTTCTTGTATAGATCGTCTTGTGCAGCTTGAAATGATGTTTATTGATCTGCCTTTGCCAAACACATTTGGTCTCTACTTACAACACTCATTTCAATAAACCATTTGCATCAATGCTGGAGTGGTGTTTTGTTTCAGAAGGAGCTAGTTGCCTTGCTTTTCAGATGTTAAGAGGGACTTGTTATGGGTACAATCAGAGTTTAGTGGTGTGAGGGGTGACACTGATCTGAGGTCAGAGACTCTGTCAGGATGGCAAGGGGATGAGGCTATTTGTTTTTGCATGTCAGCATTGTGAAGAGAAAGCGTCATAGAGGAATCAAAACATCGATAATAGAGGGTGCTGAAAATACACCATCTCTGATAAAACACCTTGTGCTGCAAGGAAATAAGTTTTACATGTATGACAATGACATAAACACATTCACTCCTGTGAAGTCAAATACATCACTTTTTTGTTGTTGTAGTCATTAACAAGACAATATGCACCCTTCGCCTAATTAAATGCACATTTAGAAATCTAAAATAGTATTTACAAGAGCTAAATTGTAGGTTAGCAAATTCACAGAAATAATTCATGCTTTTTTTCTGATGTTTTATTCATTTCCTGCTCAACACAAACCTTTTCCTCCAGAGGGACTTTTATAAGGTATATCTACTTTCTGGAAATATTGGAGGGTTGATTGACTGCACATTATTTTATATTTTAAATATTTGCAGTCCCAATAAATGAAGTTTTTTACATTTGTTTGTTATGTTTGATGCAATGTTTTAAATGTGGCAAATTTGTATCTACAACCTGTATCACTTGTTTGGTGGATTTTGTTTACCTGTCAATCTTCTTATCTCAATCTCAGAAAGAAGAAAAACATATGCACATTTTCCTTTTTTTACAAGGTTTGGGTTCTAGCTTTTCTTGCAAACTGCAGGTCATTATGCAGCACTTTTCACTGAGATGCAGCATTAGCACTAATAACAGTATTTGCATTAGTAGTGTATCTGCTAGTGTAACCTGTTGTTGCCTCACCATTGTTTGCTCAGGGATTCATTTAGTGTAGGTGAATGTGTGACATTGTGATTGGAAACAGCAGCTTAGTGCTATGTATGCATTTACTGCTGAGAAATGGACCGTTCCATAGGATGACTCAAAACTCATCATGGCAGACATTATTCTCTGCTGCCTATTTATAATATATTACTCATGCAGCACCATTCAGTCCTCTCAGCGCCCGCACAATAGCTGAAATGGAATTCAAGTGGCTGGAATGTAATGCGGAGGGAAAGCAATATAGTCAGAGAAATCAAATGTATTGGTGGATGGAGGGGACTGCAGAAACCCCTCGCTCTGGTGTGTGTTTGTGTATGCATCCCATGCATAATTCAGCCCTCATTTTGTATGACTTTTTTGTGTTTCTGTATGTGAGTTAACTTGGAATTTATTATTCCATCTCCATCTGACTTTGCAAACCAAATCAGTGCCAGAAACAAACACCTGAAAGAACAGACCTGCTGGGTCACATTCATTTTGGTATGAATTGGGCTTATATAAAACACAAATTATTTAACTATGCTTACGGAATAATTGACTAATAGAAATTGGAACACAGGTAACAGAAAAAAAGAGAGATTGTGTGGGAGAGAAACTCCCTCTGGAGGGGACACAGGAATTGTAGCCGTTGCAGACCATATAGGAGAGAGAATCCCAAAAAGCATAATAGGGCCACTTTAACACACCTCTCCATTCATCAGCCCCAGAGCCATATTAACATAAATCTCAGTCACGGTTTGTCATTTCAACCGGCAAAGGGCAGGCCTGAAGGGTTTTTTTACAGCCCTTTGATAATAACACAAAGCGGTAAATGACAAAAGATTTGATTATAGTCTTAGTATGCTAACCTGGAATAATTGCCACAGTGACAGTGAACATCATGCAGGTACATACACTTTCATGCAAGTAAACCACTATATCAAGTCACTATATCCAGTCACTATATCAAGCCACTATATCCAGTCACTATATCAAGTCACTATATCCAGTCACTTTATCAAGTCACTATATCCAGTCACTATATCTAGCCACTATATTTAGTCACTACAGTATATCCAGTCACTATATCCAGTCACTATATTTAGTCACTACAGTATATCCAGTCACTATATCGAGTCACTATATCAAGTCACTATATCAAGTCACTATATCCAGTCACTATATCAAGTCACTTTATCAAGTCAATATATCCAGTCATTATATCCAGTCACTTTATCCAGTTACTATATCCAGTCACTACAGTATGTATATCAATCAATCAATCAATCAATGTTTATTTATATAGCCCAATATCACAAATGTTACATTTGTCTCAGTGGTCTTCACAGTGTGTACAGAATATCAGTATGACACCCTCTGTCCTTAGACCCTCACATCGTACAAGGAAAAACTTCCAGAGAAAACCCCACAGTTTAAAGGGGAACATGGGAGAAACCTCAGGGAGAGCAACAGAGGAGGGATCCCTCTCCCAGGACGGACAGACGTGCAAAAAATGCCGTATCCAGTCACTATATCCAGTCACTACAGTATATCCAGTCACTATATCCAGTCACTATATCTAGTCACTACAGTATATCCAGTCACTATATCTAGCCACTACAGTATATCCAGTCAGTATATCTAGTCACTACAGTATATCCAGTCACTATATCCAGTCACTAGATCTAGCCACTACAGTATATCCAGTCAGTATATCTAGTCACTACAGTATATCCAGTCACTATATCTAGCCACTACAGTATATCCAGTCAGTATATCTAGTCACTACAGTATATCCAGTCACTATATCTAGCCACTACAGTATATCCAGTCAGTATATCTAGTCACTACAGCATATCCAGTCACTATATCTAGTCATTACAGTATATCCAGTCACTATATTTAGTCATTACAGTATATCCAGTCACTATATCTAGTCATTACAGTATATCCAGTCACTATATTTAGTCAGTATATCAAATCAATATATCCAGTCACTATATCTAGTCACTACAGTATATCCAGTCACTACACTGTAAAATGTTTGGCTGTAAAATTACAGTAAATTACTGGCTACTAGTTGCATGGATTTCACAGTAATGTACTGTAAATATTTCACAGTAATTTACTGTATATATTTTACAGTTAATTAGAATAAAAGTACAACTAAACTGTGACTTTACAGTTGCCATGCCCATGGAATTACTGTGATATAGCAGTACAGAGCTGTGGTATTATGGTACCTTGCTGTACATAAATTACAGTAATTACCTGTATGTTCACACTATTACTGTAGAAGTAATGCAACACAGTAGCCAGTAATTTACTGTAAATATACAAATCTAAATAATACGATAATATATTGTAAATTTGACTGGGATTGTACCATAACTACACAATTCAATCAGCTCAATCAACAAAGAAAAACAAAGAAAATGCCCATTTTAACTTTGTATTACTCCATTGAAGTGCAAAGTACATTTCGCAATGTCTTGGAAATGTTGTTACGGCCCCAACCTCTACTCCGCGGTAGTGGCTCGTGCTGAGACCCGCAACATGAAAGAATACACGCAATAACCGGTACTTGGTAACGAGCATTTATTGATAATCAGCCGTTTGCTCACACAAGCGAAATGGGAAACAAAAAGAGGTCTGGAGGACTGGCCAAAAGGAACAAACAGAAGGAGGGAACCCGAGCCAGCCACACCACGGGCCGTAGGACCCAGAACTCCCCCGCCTAACCAAAAATCAAATATAAACCCTATGAGAAACAAAATAAAGCCGCGAAAACTGGACTACCAGGTCCTCCAGGCTAAACATAAACACATCTGCAAAAATATGGCCTACAGCACAGAATGGCAAAGAGGTATTCTAAGGACAGTGTCTCCAGCGTTAGGATAGGCGAGACATCCTTCTCCTCCAGCTTCTCTTTATATATACACACGGCTGAGTGGAATTTGGAACACCTGGGCCAGCCAGGGGCAGACCAGGTGCACCTGGGCAGAGGCGGAGCCAGGGGCAGACCAGGTGCACCTGGGCAGAGGCGGAGCCAGGGAAACAGAAAACAAGGAGGGGAGCACTTAACACATGTCTACACAGACATCCACTCAAAGTCAACCATTTTTCTGAAGAATGTGCTGACATGGGGGTTTAAATTGCCATGTCTCTTTTTGGCTTTCGAGTCCGTCTCAGGATTAATGCCCAGGATGCACCTGAAAACACTAAGCCAAGACAACAATTTTACATAGATGAATATGTTGCCTCATTTATTTTAAGGCACATGCAGCGGTGCCCCTTTCAATTTAAGTAAAACCTGCACCAAAGAAAGAAATTAGTATTTAAAGCCAAGTAAGAGCAATAAAAGCAAGAAAATCACTTAATTTGTTATGTTATCACAGAGGATGGTCTGAATACAGTATTTTACTATGAAATAATACAGTAACATGTTGTGAAATCCTGGTAATCATTTATCCTGTACATTCACAGTAATTAACTGTGCCTGTATTGATTTCACTGTGAAATTCTAAATTACAGTGTTATATTGTGAACATTACAGGTAAAGACTGTAAAGTGGAAAAACAGTAATTTATTGTAAAATATTACAGCTAAATATTGTGAAATCATGGTAATATTTGACAGTGTACAGTATATCCAGTCATTACAGTATATCCAGTCACTATATCCAGTCACTATATCTAATCACTACAGTATATCGAGTCACTATATATCGAGTCACTATATCAAGTCACTATATCCAGTCACTATATCAGGAACTTTTGTCTGACTGTCTCCTGATCCTTGGGCTATGGTAACCTTTACAAACATGACCACTGTTATAAGCCAGAAAACATGATAAAAGGTCATACAAAATGTGAACCAGTGCAGATAATAGAGCAGAAACACTCTTGCTTTTGTTCTTTCGTTGTAAGACTCATCATAAACTCTTCGAGCCTTAGTTGCTCAGTGCCTCCAGTCTCCTCTCCTCACTCCTCTCTCTTCAGTTGAGGGCCAGTTATCAGGACCTGGCAGGTGTTCAAGCTCTTGGCAAGGGGCCACACACAGTAATTGTTGAGTCAAGTGTTGGTATTGATCAAAAGACCCTGTTAACCCGGTGGTCATTCCATGCTGTGGAACTGGGAATACTCTGCTCACTCACAACAACAGGCTGTGATCTGATTCACTGCTCATGTAAAAGGGTTTCACTATTCAATTAAGCAACTATGGCATATTAATGACTAAATATGAAGATGAAATATAGGTACAAGGTAAATCTGTTTATTGACAGACTCTTATATAAGGTCCCTTAAACCTAGGCTTTGATTGTAAAGCCCCTGTCACACTGTCCCGAAATTGACACCAGATTGAAACACGATAAAGGAAATGTTCAAATTCGGCTCTGATCGTAACAACATCGGGCCATTCGTGAGGGCATCTTAAGCCATCGTATGACCGCCGGTGGAGTTTCTCAGGCATCAACTTCGTGAGCGGTGGCAACATCTTTGGCATGCCAAAAAATTGCCGAAGGTTCATTTTCGTGTTGAATTCGTGTATCCATTTTGCCCTTCGTAAGGCCAGCGTGAAGGCATCTTGTCAAATCGGTCATCTTTGTCTGAACATTGGTGCCATCGGGCATTTTTCGCCTCACGAAGATAATACGAAGGAAACAAGAAGCTTCCCGATTGTCTTAGGAAGGCAACACGACTGCGTGAAGCCCTCGCAATGCCTCCGTGTAACCATCGTATTATAGTACGATGACATCGAGATTGCATTTATTGCACAACAAAATCATGTAAACATATTATGTAAATAACCCAATTTGTGTTCTGTGAAACTGAAAAGGATATTAGATTGTTTTTGTTACTTTCGTAGCAGTTGTATGTCTTAAATGTAATTTAGGTTAACTTCCTGTTTTATTTAGATAGAATAAAGTGTATGTTTAAATGTTAGCACCCCCCGAAGAGGCACAAGCTCTTACGTTGAGTCTGGATACATTCTCAATCATCAGTAAAGTCTACGACCATATTTTCGTGTGTGGTTCGGGTGCCATCGTGTGGCCTTCTGTAGGCATCCTACTTGCTTCGGCTGTTGCTTGGCTGTTGACCAAGTTCGGGGCAATCTTCGTGTGAAATTCACAATTCCATATTCGTGTGTCCATCTGATGTCAATTTCGGGACAGTGTGACAGGGGCTTAACGGATTACGTGTGACGGGATTACAGGATACATTAATTGTATTCCCTTACAGTTACATTTAACAAAGGCATAATCAGAATACTGTAACAATTAAAAGTGGGGATTACAAGAAGGATTATTTACAACATTACAAATACTTTACATTTTTTTTTTTTTTTACATGTTATAGGTAGACGTACTGCTTGATATTCTTTTGGGTTTTATTTAGGGTACTTTCATCTCCTATTTGAAATCTCTTTTTCTAAATGCAGTTGGTGAACAACTCATTTATTAAACAAAAACACTGTTTAATTGATGTATTAAACTAAATCATAATTTGTAAACTATACTATTCTGTAGGTCTATCCTGTAAGAGGACACATTTGTGATACTTAATATCTTGGTTTCTTCTTTTCTCATGTCACATTGTTCTGTTGTCTTACATAATACACTTTAGCAAAAACTTCTTATTGATATTTATTTTCGCTTGGATTCATTTACATTGAATTTGATATTGAGGTAATCCAAAACTAACGGAAAGGAATCAGGTTACATAACTTTTATATTTTGTTGCTTGGATTAGGTAACTGATTACATTTTTCTACAGGTAACTTGTAATTGGATGGATTACATTGTTAAAGCCCCCCCCCCAGCCTTGCCCTGTGGACCCACCTTGCCCTCCCCACACTTGGTGCCGGTCATCACGAGGCCGGGGTCCGGCAGGTCCCCCTGGCCGTCCTGGGTGCTGTAGACATAGGTGCCGCGGCACTTCACCTCGATGCCGTCCGTCTTGATGGTGGTGTCTATGGAGACGGCGTTGGTGCCTTTGGGCTTCTTGGCAGCACTGTGGCACTGGATCTTACCGCACTTCGCATCGCTGGGCAGAGGAACATAACACAGAAACACTCAGCCTTTAAATTATAGAGCAGGTCATCAGAGCTCAATGTTCACTTACTGTCACACAGAGAGCAGCTCCAGCAGCATGGAAGATATCTATATTTCACCTTTATTTCATGTAAATATTGCTATATCTTAATGCTTTAATGTTCTTCGTATGTGTACCTACTTGGCAATAAACCTGTTTCTGATTCTGAGCATTTGTGAGGCTTTTTTAAAGATTTACATTTTTACTGGGAATGAATGTGCTCTGATCTGAGAGCCCCAGACAGGATATGGAAGAGACAAATAAATGGTTGGTTTTGGTCATTTTATTGTGATTTGTTGACAATTAGAAATGTTTGGAATATATTTTGGGTGTTAGTTCAATCTTACGTGCATATATAACATCATTTGTTAGTGGTTGTCAGCCAATATTGCTACATTACCCACAGGAATTAGCTGTGGATAGCAACCAATGAGATCAGTCAGAGTATTCAAATGAGCTAACAATTTTCACTCAAAATGAAACTAGATAAACTTGCTTGGATGTCTGTAAATGATGGAATGTATTTCTGATTCTAGTATTGATTCTTTGTCTTAATCAATACTAGAATGAACATTGTTTTGCAGATGATAGAATATTAAATGTCCCAGGCTGCACTCCAGCACTGTTTCGTATCCAGTCTGCCTGCGATGCTTTCTAATTATAACTCCATGATCACAGACTCGTTTTTAATAGAGAAAAGACTGGTATTCTCCAACTCTACCACTGACTATCCTGCCATTAAAACTTTAAATGTCACTCACTCTTCGTGAGCCATACAAATACCTGACAGCAGATCGTCATTCAAGATTCATACTCAACATTTGAGCCTAAAAAATGAAAGTTCTTGTATGCAGTATAAAACGTGTCCTCTTCCAACCATAGACATTTTGGGCAGTCAACCTTCATGTTTGTCCTTCAGAATGCAGACATTCTGCTCTGTCATGCTGCCCCATATTCACTTCAGACATTCATCCCTGTGTATCACATGACCAGATTCACATTCATCATTGTTCTCTGTCTCAAAAGATTTGTTGGAACTCCTTACAGTCAACAAGAGAAATCCATATATGAATATGTTATTCAGTTATAAAGATCTACTGTTGGAGCTTCCGAACTACCTCACCTCTCTCATTTTACTCTATTAATTATCTTCCCCTGAGTCTCGCATTCCACCGGGAGATTTTAAAGCTTTATATTAGTTATTTTATGATCATTACTGTTTTTAAGTCTTGTTGATTCTGTTGTGTTGTTTCTGTTTTGCTGTTGTTGTTCTCAAGCCTCTTATAAATGTTAATGAGGCTGATTAACTTGAGATTAAATCCAGTCGTCTATGATTATTTACTTTTTATGATGCAAACAATACAATCAATTATATTAAGCTTGAGAAAAAAAAGGACACGCACGCACGCACGCACGCTCTGTGTAGATTATTCCCGTCTTAATAACAGGGCATTTACATATCTTCCAATCAGCTCTCTGACTCACTGTGGCCAGAAAACACTCTAATGGCTCCTGCGGGACTCCTAATGGATTTGGGCATAGTGGATCATACGAGGAGGGGGCGACTACTTTAAGCCACAGCCTAATTTACATAGCTAAATTGCTAATTTGGCTTCATTAATTACCTCTGGCCCTCTGCCAGGGAAACTACGAGGCCACGACACGCGACAGACAACAGAGGGCCTGACTGTGAGGGTCTGTATGTTAGGAGGAATATTATTATTAAAGTCAACTGTGATAGACACCAGCAGGGCTCATCATTTCATCATTTCAATAAAGCAGCATTTGCACCACTTGTTGGGAGGGAAACAACCTGGAAACACAGAATATGGCCTTATGAAGTTATCAGGGCAACATGTTAGTTGCCTATTGACTCAGCCAATGGACAAAAAGTGACCTGGCAGGGGTGATTGTGTCCACCTGATTCATGTCAGTCTGATATTCAGCTACGGGTATTCAACATCTGAGCTCAAACTGTTAAAACGGAGCGGTGCGGGAGGATGACAATGTTAAAGAGCTCTCGACGAACCTCAGACAGTGAAAATCAGTGTATTGAAATACTTTCTAGTCACATGCTAAATATAGGGCATCATTTATTTCAGAATCAGAAAGCCTTTATTCCTTCCACAGTGGGGAAATATTACATTTGTTAAATCTTCCTTCGATGCACTATTATAAATTACACCGTCTTTTCCACCTATGTCCTTTTTGCAATACTTTGAATACATTCAAAATGGTTAGAATTCTTACTTTAGCAGTTGTTTGTTGTTGCATAGATTGAAAGTGTGTATGGAAACAGCATCTCCTACCTTCTCTGACACTTCATATAGTTGCCATGTTCATCTTTCCCACAGTTCCCAAAAGCGTTCCCTGCTGCATTGACATCTTCGAAGCAGGCATCATGGGCCGGGCGGGCTCCTGGAACACAACATATCCCATCAGGCCTCTGGGCTCTCTTGTACTAACCCAGGTCAACAATGTTAGACAGACAATAATGTTAACCTCCTGCAAACAGATGGACAGATCCTGCTGCTCGTCTACTGCAGATGTGATGGTGAAGATAACAGTCTAAACCCTCCTGCAGCTACAGTCAGAGATAAGAGATCTGTGACAAATCAGTTTCATCCACTACATGTGGAATCATGCTTAGCTCACAGTGGCATTAACAGAGCTAAAACATGGGAACCCCGGTATGAGGACAGGAGTTTTAGACGCTGTGTTCAGTGTCTGCACCAGCTGTTTGCCAAATCTCACTTCTTAAAAACAACAAAGTCTCATTTATGATTTATTATTCTACATGAGACAGCTTTTGAGTTGTGTATAGCAGTTTCTTCCTACAGCACACAGATGTTGTTCAACTAAGGCTAAACACATAGCTGCCAGTTTTCATTTGAATACTACACCTAGCTAAAATAAACGCAGTCCCTCACGGTGACATTAATGTGGATGAGCTAGTCTTCATTAAACTGACTGAATAACAGAAACACATCTCTGTAGAAGCCAATTAACTTCAACAGCACCACAAACTAAAAACGTCCAAATTGACAAGAAACTGTTGTAAGTAAATAATCAAATGATGTACTTTTCACAACTGATTTTATTTCAACTGGATAATTAATGATTGTATAAGTTACCACATTCCTACCAAAGTAATACAATCTATGATAAATAAAAGCTTATTTTGGACTGAAATAATGCAGTACAATGAAATAGGATGATACACATTAATGTCAAAATGTCTTCCTGTTGTGCTCGGTCTGGCTGCTGTTCTAACACTGTCATGCTTGTCAATGCGGCCTTCCTGTCGAAAAGGGAAAAGAGCTAATCCTTGTAGCTTTGATAAGTGTTTATTTTGACAAACTGCTGTTGTTCAGTGTGATAACAAACTCTGACATACAGTGAGGTGTTACTGCTGTGAAATCTGTGAGCAGAAACTGGCTCCAGGTGGTTTAACTCAACAAAATAAAAGCAGAACCTCCGTTGGTGAACCCCTGATTTCAGAGTGTTTCAGGCTTCACACTGATCTGATAGTTTGCCCGCTCATAGAGTCTCATGAGTGATTATCTTTCAACCCTGTTGAGGTTTCTCATGTGCTCTAATTATTGAACAGTTTGATTATATTATGATTTATTTATCTCTTTTTGGAGCATATCACTAGCCAATTATTGAAGCTGGTATACTTGCCTTTGTTATCTGTTCAACTGAGAGTGTATTGGTCTGTAAATTAAAATGTTCATGTTCTGAATTGTTAGAATAATTGTGTTCAGATCTTCAGATATCCTACAACTTTGAACTGGTTCTATGTATACCAATTACAAAATACAAGCTGTCCAATACAAATTATCCAGCGTCCAAAATTCATCAAAATCAGCACACCGGGGCCATTGTGGCCACTTTCTGGTTTCAACTCACATTTTTGATCTTGAACATGTCAGAAATGGGTTTAGTACCTCATTAACCCCTTAAATCACTCCAAATAGCCCAAATCCGTCATGCTCCTTGTGTCCAATTATCCAACATATGCAGGATAGCATGCAACAGTTTCTGTGCTGTGGACCCTACTATACATTTCTAAGATAAACTTTGGGGTACTCAACATTTCTGGGTCCACATTCATGGAAACTAGACTATGAGGGGTGTATATCCCTGTAAAGTTGAGTGGGGGGGTCAGTGCTGTGTGGTAATTGGCTGTTCTCACCGTAGCCCCACAGCTGCAGGCACTGCTGCTGGTGGGTGAGGCACATGCCGGTGTAGCAGTAGGCCACTCCGTACTGGCAGGAGGATCCGTCCAGCAGGTACACGTTGGAGGGGCAGTAGGGGGAGGCCCCAGTGCAGTACTCAGGCAGGTCACAGGCCCCCGCGGGCCCCCGGCACATGGTCCCTGACTGCTTCAGCTGGCAGAGACAGGGAGCAAACGGTGAGGGTTGTTCTTTGAAAGCTGCACAGCTCATCCACTTATATTCTAAAATACTGCACATATTCACACTCATCGTTGTTCTCTAGATTAAACGTTTTTTTGGAACTCCTTCCAGTGAAGAAGATAATCCATCATATGTTATTCAGTTATAAGGATCTACTGTTGGAGCTTCCGAACTACCTCACCTCTCCTCTCTCTATTCATTTTCTTCTTTGAGTCTTGCATTCCACTTGGAGATTTTAGCTTAAGTTCTTTTAGGATTGTTACGCTTGTTTATTCTGTTGTGTTGTTTCTGTTCTTTTGTTGTTTTCAAATCTCTTATGAATGTTAATGAGGCTGACTGATTACATTGAGATTAAATAAGTATTTAAAAATGGAAAATTACACACACACACACACACACACACACACACACACACACACACACACACACACACACACACACACACACACACACACACACACACACACACACACACACACACACACACACACACACACACACACACACACACACACACACACACACACACACACACACACACACACACACACACACACACCTCTCTGTTTGTACTTTCTTCCAGGTAGAGCCAAACCCCCGCTTTCGAACTCGGACCATAACACTGTTCATCTAATACCTACCTACAAAACGGTTCTCAAGCGAAGCAAACCACAGACCAAGTAGGTAAAGGTTTGGACTAGTGACAGCATAGAGTCTCTTAAAGGATGTTTTCTCTCTACTGAGTGGAATATCTTTCATGAGATGGACGTGGATAATGCTACTGAGACGGTAACTGACTATATACAATTCTGTGTTGACAATGTGATTCCTCAGAAATAAATAACTGTGTACCCCAACAACAAACCATACATAACTAAAGAGGTTAAGAACTGCATAAATCGTACAAATATAGCTTTTAAAAACCGGGATAAAACGCAACTGGAATGTGTGCAAAAGGAGCTTAACCACATGCTCAGAGAAGCTAGAAGGAGACATAAGGACATTATTGAACAGAACTTTTCTACAATGAACTCCAAGGAACTTTGGGACACTATGAAGGCCATCACAAATATGACTCCAGCTAAAAAAACTCTGTACCTCTGATGACCTGCAAAAAGCAAATGAACTGAATGACTTTTACATGAGCTTTGAAACCCAGGACTTCTCCTCTGAATGTACAGACATCTTAGAGACAATCTGCTACTGACCAGGATGAAAGGGTGGTGATTGACCCTTTAAAGGTCCAATCACTTTTTAAACACACCTGTACTAAGAAGGCCACAGGGCCAGATGGCATCTCTGCATTCCTTCTCAAGACATTTGCAGAAGAACTGACATCAGCATGGTGTCCCATATTTCAAAAATCTGTTGATCTTCACACCATCCCCACCCTCTGGAAAAAAATCAATAATAAAACCTGTCCCCAAAAAACCTTGTCCAAAGGTAAACAATGATTGTCTGTTGCATTGACATCCATTGTCATGAAATGTTTTGAGAGGATCATGGTGCCGCTGCTAAAGAAAGAGGTTGATGTACATTTAGACCCTTTTCAGTTTGCCTACAAGCAAGGGCGTGGCACAGACGATGCTCTAAATAGCATCACACACCTGGTCACTAAACACCTGGAAGACCCTAAGGCATATGTACGCCTACTGTTTGTGGATTTCAGCCCGGATTTTAACACACTGCAGCCTCACATCTTGCTTCAAAAACTGATAAAGATCAGTATAAATCCTTTTATCTTGAAATGGTATTTCTCGTTTTTAACCAATCGCACTCAGCATGTCAGGGTCAACAATGCCCTCTCAGAGCCCCGGACCATCAGTACAGGAGCCCCCCAGGGTTGTGTGAGCTCCCCGGTCCTCTACACACTGTACACAAACGACTGTACGAGAATCCACCCGGAGAATTATATCAACAAATTCTCAGATGATACAGCCATCCTTGGCTTAATGCACAAAGGCAGCAGTTCATCGGCTTATCACTCTGAATGAGAGGTTTGTGCAGTGGTGTGATTTTAACCATCTAGTGCTGAATGTGAAGAAGACTGAGGAGATGGTGTGGGACCCAAAGGCAGTGGGTGACCTTAGGCCCGTGGTTATCCACAATGAACCCATAACTCAGGTCAGCTCCTATAAGTACCTTGGTGTCCATCTAGATCAGTGGTTCTCAAATGGGGTACACGGACCCCTAGGGGTACGTTGGAGTACTGCAGGGGGTTGGTGAGATTTATTTTATACCAATTTTAGGAAAAGTAACAAAGTTTGAGCAGTGTGGGTTTTATATTAATAGACTAGAGTTACACATATTTCAAAACGCGAAGTGTAATAACTGCAGGTTGCCTCCCTGTCAGAATGACAAAGATCCTCAGTGAAGCTCAAGCCCATGTTTCACTAAATTGTAAGTACAATTTATTAAAAAGATCAGTTCAATGCAACTAATGTCGTCTCAGTGTTATTGCATGATGTTGAAATTGGTTTGCTATGAATTTAGTGATGGATTGTAAACATTTGAAATGTAGCATTTAAGTGTTTCTCAGTTACAAGGTTGTTGTTTTAATAAATCAGACACTGATGGTGCAGCACTGTACTGTACCTCTTTATAGGCTTTTTCCCCCTAACAAATAGTTTTTGCGCCGATCAGGGGGTACTTGGCTGAATTTTCTTTTCAAAGGGGGTACATTATTGAAAAAAGTTTGAGAACCACTGATCTAGATAATACACTCAGCTGGAAGGCGCATGTTCAAGGTCTGTGCTCTAGACTTCAACAGCGATTGTACTTTCTGCGTCGACTCCGGGCTTTCTGCGTCGACCAGAAGTTCATGTTACTGTTCTATCATGCAGTGTTGGAGAGCATCATTAGCTAGACCCTCCAGAAAAACGCGATTATGCGATCGCATAATTTACTGCATAATCAGCAAAATGGCGCAGATTTTTAAAAGGCGCATATTTATTAAAAGGCCACATAATCCCCGCATTTTTTCACACAAAGTTGGGGGGGAAAAAAGTGAACTCGTCTTGACGTGAAGTGATGATGATGATGATGATGCGACGTCATCAGCTCGCGCATCACAGAAGGTAAACAACACCGTAGAGTGAACGTGTGGAGCTCACACGAGAGAGAAAACACCAAGATGACAAAATCTAATCCATCTCATTTACCGACGAACATTTCTGCTAAAGACCGGGCAAAGCAGTACCCCGATGTCTCGCACGAAAGTGGGGGTAAACTATTCTGCACCCCGTGCAACTGTGTGTTGGAGCATAAGAGAACATCGACGGTGACGACCCACTTTGATTCATTCAAACATTCGAAAATGCTTTCTGCTGCTGCGGACAAGAAAGCCAAACAACTCACATTCACCGAGGCATCAACCTCCAAAACCCTTTCGAGGGCTACAAGAAACGAGGTGAGAAGCCTACAAGATTGAAGCTGGTCAGATAACGAGTAAATGAAAACAGAATGAGGCGGAGAAGTGTGTGTGTGTGTGTGTGTGTGTGTGTGTGTGTGTGTGTGTGTGTGTGTGTGTGTGTGTGTGTGTGTGTGTGTGTGTGTGTGTGTGTGTGTGTGTGTGTGTGTGTGTGTGTGTGTGTGTGTGTGTGTGTGTGTGTGTGTGTGTGTGTGTGTGTGTGTGTGTGTGTGTGTGTGTGTGTGTGTGTGTGTGTGTGTGTGTGTGTGTGTGTGAGAGAGAGTGTGATTAAAATAGCCCAATTGCTTTTACAATAAATAAACATTGAATGTGTTTAATTGAACAGTAAATGGGTTTAACGTTAGTGGCAGGTCGTGTGTGAGAGAGAATAAATAAGACATATAGATATTTCCACAAAAAAATATTTACGCATATTTAGCATATTTCGCAACTTTCCGCAATTTCACCGCATAAAATCACATAAAAACCCCGCATGTTTAATCCTATAATCAAGGATTTTTGCCCGCGTTTTTCTGGAGGGTCTAATTAGGTATGGTATTACTGCCTGGTATGGTAACTTGACAGTGCAGTCAAAGTCACAGATCGCTAGCCTGGTACAGACTACTATGAAAATGATGGGGGTTAAAAAACACCCATCTCTCCAAAACATATACGAGCAGTCCATTATCAGACAGGCAAACAAAATGGTGTCTGATCCCTCCCACATACTCCACCCAGAATTCCAGCTCCTACCTTCTGGTAGAAGATTCAGGGTTCCCAAGAGCAGGCTGAACCGCTATAAGCACTCATTCCTACCTATGTCCATTAAGCTTCTTAACATTCACATGAAATGAAATGTAGTCAAATGTAATGAAATGTACTTTTTAAATGTTGGCCATGAGGGGTAGTGCAATAGGTCGCCATTGTCAGTATGTGTGTCTGTGTATTGTGTTGACTGATATGTGTATGTCTCTTAATGTCCACTATGTTTGTATATGTACATGTATGCGGAACTGCAGGACGGAGTCCAGAAGAAATGTCCTTACGGGGACAATAAAGTATATCGTATCGTAGTGTTGAAGAAATAACTGAACATTTGATACAACAAACACTAAGACACCATGTCTATTGAATTCAGCACCAATGGTTGTTGACTTTATACAAGCCTGCCATTGGCTGTTAGAATCCTCCCTACCCTCCACTGTCTGTGTGTTCCCCTCCTATAAGAACCCCTTCACTATATCATGGGCTTAGAGTGGCCAAGGTCATTATGAATGGTTACGTCGACCGCGGGGGCAATGCTGGTAGATCGCGAGTCAAAAAAAAAATCCAGCTCCGTTAAAATAGACAAAACAGGTTTTGATCCCTCCTCCCTTGGCCTCCCTGCCACTTAATTCAGGAGTTTACTTGACAGAAAAAGCGACCTATCGCTTTCCAGTCTGTTAACCCAGAATGCAAAGCGATACAAAATCAGTCAAGTGCCGGGAAAACTCAAATTAAGTTAAAGAGACAAACAACAAAATGAGAGAGGGACCGAGCAAAAAGCAAAAAATATACCACTTCCATCCAGAATGGGAGGAAGAATATTTGTTTGTGATGTCACATTCAGTGGCGGCGCTAGGGGGTGGCTACTTGGGCTCAAGCCCCGGATGTTTTCTGAAAAGCCCCGGATGTTTCACTTAAAAAAAAAGTGTTTTTTTGAAAACGTCTCGGGAGTAATGTGCAGTACCGGAGTCCACCAGAGAGGCATCCGCTGCGGGACATTAGCCTGCGTACTGCGTAGCCCGCCCTGAAGTAGAAGTGATCCTTCTATAGTGCCTGACGAGTTTTAAGCTAATAGCCTATACAGTTATGGATATTAGAAAATTATTGTCATCGAAGCAGCCGGCGCCACAAGCTGCAGCAGCAGCAGCAGTATCAGCAGCTGACAACAATGTCATCACCAGCAGTGAAGAAATGGATAATGTTTCAGGTTTGTGAATCTAATGGTGATATCTGCACTCTGGCTGACTGAGTAAGAAGTGAAAAAGAGTGATGTAACGTTAATGTTATAGCTAGTAAACATGGAGTAACCACACTAAGTATACCCTTATATGTTAGTATGTATACAGAACATGACTAAAAATTATCCTAAGATGTAACGTTAACCCTTCATAACTCAGTCTACTTTTAAGACACTAAAATAACGTATTCCATTTTTTATTTTGTTTTCGCACGTGGAATTATACCGGCTCTCGTTTCAGTACACATAACAACGGAACTGACAGGCAACCCTCTGAATCAGACTCCGATTGGCTGTGACTGCATCCACTCAGAGTGTCCGATTCAGAAACGTGACTTACACATTTTTTACGTCACAAACAAAGATGGTGGATGAGAATAGATCTATAAAACGATAAGCAATGCGCCAGAATCAAGGTGAGACAATCCGCATCCTTTAAAACTCTACGCACATTCATTTCACCTTAATAAGTAAACGACTATTTGAGTGAGTTAAGGCATTAGTTTGCTTCATTAAAGGGTGTTAATCTCCAGTGCCTTTTGTCCGCTTTAAGGTGTTATTAAGGTAGGGTTAATGTTGCTCTCAAAGTGCACCAGATTGATGCTTTCAACTTCAATATTTAAAAAAAAATCTTCCCGAGGGAGCATGCCCGCGGACCCCCCAAGAGGAGGCGACGACCCCCTTAAAGGATGTTCGGTCCACCCCCAGGCAGGGGTAGCACTGTACCCCTGCACCCCCCCCCCATCAACTCCTGAGCTAAGCCCCGGATCTCCTACAATCCTAAATCCGCCACTGGTCACATTCAAAGGTTATTTGCCTTATTTGTAAAGCGAGCGTCGCTCTGCCAAAGAAAGGTAACGTGGAGAGGCATTATCGGAGTGTTCACAAGGCATATGACAGCGACTTCCCTCCGAGTAGCGAGTTGAGAAAGAGAAAGGTCATGTATTATTGCTACACAAACATTATCTCGCAGTCTTAGTGTCGCCAACTCGTTTCTAACATGCAACAAGACAAACAAATGCGTCTATGGTCGGTGTATTTTTGATCTTTCCAATCGAGACGAGATCTCTCTCCCGTCTGTGTGCGAGGGGGCGAGGCAGTTTACACACACGCGGCTGCTACATGCAGCAACACACGGCGGGGATGGCGGAGAGAAGTGCTCCAAGGTGTGGTTAAATGTTACCCGTCTTGAGGAGGACAATGCTCCTTGCCAAGAGTGGGCGGTAACACGAGCAATGTGTCTAAACATTTAGCAAAAGTGCTCCACATTCAGACGGAGGAATGCACCGGGTTCGACCGTCTTTCTAGCAGCTCTGTAGCCCCATCCACGAGTAACGTTTCCACGTCAGGTATGTTATGTATGCTAGCAGCAACACACGGAGTTAACTCAATGATACAAACATGGGTTAATGATTAGAGGTAACCGAGTTACTCTTTATTTTGTTAAAGTTTCAGCTATTCTGTTTAAAGTTCTGTCATCAGATTATTTAATACGATTTGTTAAAACATTGTTGTTTCTTTTGATGTGAAATATTATTGATTTAATTTAAATAAAAAGCAATGTTAATTTTGTTCAAAATGTGTTAAGTTAATTTAATAATATATGTATTTTTGAATCAAGTATTCATCTTTATTGTCTTCATTGTTAGTTTCCACATGCCTAAAACAACCTCAAGCTAAATCTAAAAGTTGATGGCTAAATAAGAGCGTTTGAGAAATTGTGCAAGGCATACAGTAATAGTCTGAATAGTCGATTCATCGATAGATTAATCGATTATCAAATGAGTCGTTTGTTGCAGCCCTATTATCCCATGTATAAATAAAACGTGTTATTCAGCAACCCTTGCAATTTGGGATTTTATGTTTGGTTGGTAGACCTCGGTGAGCTGGTCATTTCAAAAGTAGCTCACCAGCCCAAAAAGTGTGGGCACCCCTGAAGGAAGAAAGATAAGACACAACTGGGTCGGAATCTGCTAGAATGATTCCACGATAATCAAAGAATAAAGTATACGTGCCCATCACCTTTTTTTATCCTATAAGCAGGGGTTTGGCTATAGCAGAGTCATAGAAACAAAAACACATCATATGGACAAAGGTAATGGTGTTATATACTGTAACTGTGTCAAGAGGGCTTTGTGGTGTCTTTAAAGGTGATGCTTTGTAAGTAAGCATTGTTCTAACAGGCAGAACTTAGTTACATTTAGTTTTGCATTTAGAAGATCCTGAACAAGTCTATCATCATTTTCAAACCTCTAGTTTATCTCCATTTGAGAAAAAGGCCCAGTCACAGAGTCTTGGGTAGATAGATAAACAATATGCATTGAAGGTTATTGTTATGCTGTGGTCGAATAGTGTTTGTGCTTAGCAGGGTTTCTAACAGACTGAATGACCCACAGCACCTCAGTTGAGCTGCTTCAATTCTCTAAACGATAATAAAATAAGCTTCAATGCTTCCTATATTATCTCATTGACATAGCATACACTGGACCATCCTTTATTCAAGTTAATGAGATAATGCTGTCCCACAATTCCTTGCTGTGGCAACATCCTAATATTCAGCTTGCAGCTTTAAGAGGAATGTAAAAGACAGCAAGCGGCATTACGAGTTTGAGTATAAATGAGTGGAATAGAACAAGAAAGTTAATAATAGGCGATATAGTAAATAGAAACTATGGCAGTTTATCTGAAGAAAATGATGCAAGATTTGAAAAAAATGCTGAAATATGAATATATTAACAATAGAATAAGCAAAATAAGAGAAAGGATGTGTAAAGAAAGGATACACAATAAACAGAGACAGAATGGAGGAGGCTCCTCTTCTGCAGAACGTCTTCAGCACGTTGCCTCTTCTGTCAGGTTAAAGCTCAGTAGAGTTTGGGTTCACACTGAGAGTCAGAGAGATGAGACAGAGGAAGGTGTGTGATGTGAAGCTGTGCTGGGAACAGGACGTCAACACACTGCACCCTGACTGGGGACTAATGACACTGAAACACTGCTGCAAATGAGGCTCCCTCCCACGCTGCTGCCTGCATGTGTGTGTGTGTGTGTGTGTGTGTGTGTCACCTTGCAGCCCTCGCAGCACACTCCATGCGCACACTGAGCCTCCTCCTTCAAGGTGCAGTTATTGGCATTGCAGCAATCATTGGTGCATTCCTGTAACACACAAACATACATGTTGAAACACTCGCTTTACAGATCAAACAGCCTCACTCTCCTCAATAACTGACATTTATTAGAACGTAACATTTGTAGGAGTGGGAAACATTATTTTATAACAGTGCAATACAAATTAGATTTGCAGGTTTGAAAGTTAGCAAGTTATTATTCAGGGTTCTAAACTATACTGCCAACCGTTGTACATGTTAATGAAGGTTGGAAAGTCAATTATAAGATAAACAACATCGTTTAGTTGATAGAAATATTACAGAGCTATTCATAAAGTAAATCCGGGGATATTATGCATATGAACAAAAAACAAACAAGCGAAAAAGAAAACCCATTTTATATAGAGCAACTCACTTCAGACACACACACACACACACACACACACACACACACACACACACACACACACACACACACACACACACACACACACACAGAGATTGACAGAGAAGTGCTTCTGCTAATGCTCATGTGTCATACCACGCTAAGAGAAAAAGACATTTCTCGTCGCCATGGCACCCTCTGACAGGCCATGTTTACAATTGAAAAGAAATGGGGGAGTTGAAACCAGTCTATGGTTGAACCAAGCCAGATGAAAGATGATGGGTAAACACAAGGAGAAGAAGAGGGATGTTCCTCCTAACAACAAGACTTTCCACAAACACTTTCAAAATAAAACCTATGCCTCTACTGTAAAATCCTGCAGCAGAGGAGAGCTTTTGGTTTACAATGAGTGTGTGATGGTGTCTGATCTGAATGCAGGGGGGGGGGGGGCAGCTCCACTGTCAGCGCTCTCACTGTCGCCAGCGCACCGCTGTCAGACACCAATTTGCTTCTTCTGTTTTCAATTTGCTCTGCTGCTTGAACCTGAGTAGGTTTATTTAACCTCTGGGTTTTTTGAGCGCAAACACTTCATCTCGATTTAAGGAAACTTTAGCAATCTTTCAGCTGTGTTGCACAAAGCCATGGAGAGCGCATTATTGAAGAGGCTGAAACGACGCTGCTCTACGGAAAGAGCTTACTTTTACTTTGGTGACGTGTAATGAATAGACTAGATGGTACGTTTGAAAGATTTAGGTTTAGCATTTCTGCTTTGTTTAATAGTGAGAGAGACAGGCAGGGGGGAATTTAATGTTTGCCGCTCTACATGGTGATCTATATATTATATCATTTGAACTTAAAGTCCACCTCCAGTCTTATTTTAAAGTTTGTAAATGACTGATATAAGAACTATTTGGATACATGGGGTGTTCCACATACAAAGTATAATGAACTCCGGAAGCACATCCATTTCCATTGTCCATGCTACGTGGAGCAGTGTGAAGCATATGAGCTACATTAGATTACAAGCAGTAAATAGCCTGAAATTGTTTTATTTTTTTAAGAAGATTTTTATAAAACATGAACAGTAAGAACACTCACACTACATTTTAAACAACGAGGGCTCCATCTGATAAGGAAAGATGGTATGATTAAACAATCTACAGAACAGCTACTAAGTGGAGATTTTGGAGATTTGTTTGGAACAATTGCCAGACATTTCTTCTAATCTGTTTAGTAAAGTATAACAACTGTTAATAAAAAAATGGAAGGTAAAAATCACAGAAAAAAAAAAGTCAGACTGTGTGTGGTAATACAGTCACGATTCGATCAAACGATGAAAATATCTTTAATACATTTAAGATCTTAAACATCTAGGAATAGAGAAAATAGGCAAATCCACTATAGTATTTATAACATATCTCTATAAATAATTAGATTTGGTGTGTTAGAGTCATACAGGCTTGAGACGAACAGGAATAAATGAAGATGCTCACCTCAGGCTCTCCACAGTCACACTCCTCTCCGTCCTCCACAAAGCCGTTGCCGCACTTCTTGCCCCCCACCAGGTCCTTCATGTTGGGCATGTTGAAGAGACACATGCCCCCCCCCTTCTGGAAGTAGCTGTCCAGGTCCCGCTTGCTGCAGCGACTGAAGACACGTGGGAACGGATGGCTGGAAAGGGACAGGACATTTGACACCTTTCTTCCACTGCTCTGCTCAGAGAAAACACTTCCATGTTTCTGGGCAGTGCTTTGAAATGTTGTGGGACATCATACCAAGGCTTTCAATTTTCTTTCATTCTGTGTTTCTTTTAAATATTCAAACTTAAAAGACTACACAGGAAATGAAATATCAGAACTAGTGATTACAAATCTATGATTGTAATAAAGTAGAACAAAAGAGAGAAATCTAAAATCTGTCAGAACACTCTAGCTTCCTCCAGCTGATTCATGTATCTGTGAGAGACACAGCTCATGTCTCAGGTCTCATGTCTCATGTCTCATGTCTCATGTCTTATGTCTTAGGTCTCATGTCTCAGGTCTCATGTCTCATGTCTTAGGTCTCAGGTCTCATGTCTCATGTCTCATTTCTCATGTCTCCTCTCTCCTGCCCCCTCTCTCTGTCTCCTGCCTCCTTGCTCCTTCCTCCTGTCTCCTCTCTCCTGTCTCTTCTCTCTGTCTCCTGTCTCAGGTGTCTCACCCGGTGGCAGCAGCCATCACACACTGTGGCCTCCTGTCTCTTGTCCCCTGTCTCCTGTCTCATGTCTCATGTCTCACCCGGTGGCAGCAGCCATCACACACCGTGGCCTCCTGTCTCCTGTCCCCTGTCTCACCCGGTGGCAGCAGCCATCACACACCGTGGCCTCCTGTCCCCTGTCTCGTGCCTCCTGTCTCATGCCTCCTGTCTCCTGCCTCCTTCCGCCTTTCTCCTGTCTCCTGCCTCATGCCTCCTGTCTCATGTCTCCTGTGTCCTGCCTCCTGTCTCCTCTCTCTGTCTCATGTCTCACCCGGTGGCAGCAGCCATCACACACCCCCCCTGTTCGGCCGTGGCCTCCACACAGCAGCCGTCATGGTCATGGCTCATGCCGAAGTTGTGTCCGATCTCGTGGGCCATGGTTGCCGCGGCGCCGATGGGCAGCTCAGAGTGGTCCTGTAGGGGGACAGAAGGGGGTCTCATTAGAATGACTGACAGCATCATGAGCAGCTGTGTAAACGCAGAGCTCCAGATTTGAAATACATCCTTCATGCAGGAGTCTTTTTTATATTTGCCAGGACATATACAGTTGAGGCCTAAATGATTAGCCACCCAGGAGTTATGGAACATTTTCCTAAAATTCTTCCCAATGTTTCCAGCATTGATAAAACTTGATATAATCAAACATTCATCAGTGCTATTTAGTAGCTTTTGGTACATTTCGGAAAGTTTTTAGGCTTGCTTTATATCAAATATAGTGAAAAATGGGTTGGTCAAAAAATATTAGCCCCCCATGTCAATTTTTGCTTTCAAAAACACACCTAATCAACCAATCAGCTTTCAAGCCACACCTGAGCATTCAATCAACATAAAAGGACTCCAAGAAACAGGCACTTGAATACCTTATTGAGAGGGACTATACTACTACTCCTACTCACCATGCCAAAGACAAAGGAAATCGGTCTTGAGCTCAGAAAGAAGATAGTGGAGGCTCATGATAAGGGGGAAGGCTATACTGCTATTTCCAAGCGCTTCACAGTGTCTAGAACTGCTGTACGTTGTATCATTGCGAAGTACAAGGAGACACATTCTGTAAGAAACAAACCTGGGCGTGGTCGAAAGCGCAAGATTTCAAGAACTCTGGAGAGGAAAATAGTCAGAGATGTCAGCAAGAATCCCCGGACATCTACCAAGATGATTGTTGCTGACCTGGCCTCTTCTGGAGTTGATGTTTCAAGGAACACAGTGGTGAGGGCTCTTCATCGTGGTGGGCTTCAGGGCCATCGTCCCAGAAGAACCCCTTTACTCAAAGGGTGGCACATCAGAGCCAGACTGAGGTTTGCCCGTGAACATTTGAAAGGTAAAGATGAGTTTTGTAAGTCTGTGCTTTGGTCTGATGAGACTAAACTGGAACTGTTTGGGCACATGGATGTTGCTTATGTTTGGCGAAGAACACATCATGCTGTGGGACTGTGTTGCAGCCTCAGGCACAGGGAGCCTTGTTCGGGTGCAAGGCTTCATGACATTTTTTAATTATGTTGACATTTTGAGGGATAACATGAACAAATCTGCTCTTAGTCTTCGCTTAGGTCGTTGCTGGGTCTTCCAACAAGACAATGACCCAAAGCACACATCAAACTTGGTCCAACAGTTCCTAAAGGACACCAAAACCAAGGTGCTGGAGTGGCCCGCACAGAGCCCAGATCTGAATCCTATTGAGAATCTGGAGGGTGCTGAAACTGAATGTCCATGCTCGGAACCACGCAATTTGGACCAGCTGGAACCATTTGCAATGGAAGAATGGGCCAAAATCCCTCAAGAGACCTGTGCTAACCTAGTAAAGAACTACTCTAAGAGCTTGTGGCTCAGTTGTGGCTCAGAAAGGGTACACTATTGACGCATCCGGCGCGTCCAGGTGGTGCGCATCATTTTACGTAATTAATCATATATTTTCGATTATAAGGAGTAGAAATATGATTCAGATATCCGCGGAATCGCTGGAAGAGTAGCTTTCCAGCGGTATCTCCTGTGAGACTGTAACCAGGGCACAGCAGCCAATATGGCCGCTCAAAGCAGCTTGACTTTACACTGTGTGGGATTGGTGGATTCGTGTGTCCGTCAAGGAAATCTCGGCCGGCAGCCATCATGGTCTGAAATGACCAATGGACATCGAGAAATCACTAAGGGACCTACCCACCAAGTAAACAAAACATAAACCACGTGTCTCCCATCAGTTTACGTCTGTGAGGAGAGAGAGAGAGACAGAGAAAATGGCTAAAAAAAACGTTACAGTTGCCGACTTCGCTAGAGATTTTTTTCGCTAGCAGCAGTGAAGATAGAGCCTCAGAACCTGAAGTCTTCGACTCTTCTGAAGAAGAAGAATACAAAGACAACAACAAGGATCCATTTGGACATGAGTAAGTGTAAATATTACAGTAATAGTGTACTGACAATGTGTGGGGAATACCGCGAAAATGAAAAATAGGTTTATTGATATATATTTTTTATCGATAGTCATGAACTTTTTATTGGACAAAATAGACTCCATTAGCCAACGTTTACTCTGTGTTAACGTTATTTTGGTGTGTAAAAGTGAGATTACATGTGTAGAGGATTAAATTAATCATGTATTCGTCCCACAACGGAGACATTTACAGTGACATGTTTTTGCCATCGATTATTTTATCATACTGTTCTGTACAGATGAAACTTTGTCATAGATGTATTTATATGTGTGCCTGTTATTATTTTACCGTCCTGTACAGATGAGACTTTGTAATCAGATGTAGCCTATCTATATATGTGTGTCTGTGATTTTATACTGAATGTAAAGTAACTGGAAATACCTGTGTGTGTGTGTGTGTGTGTGTGTGTGTGTGTGTGTGTGTGTGTGTGTGTGAGAGTGTGTGTGTGTGTGTGTGAGAGAGAGATCGAGAGAGACTCCTTCTCCAACCTCCCAAACTTTCTTTTTATGTGTGCATTGTTATTTGTGCTTGAGCAACATTTTACTTGAACTTTCAATGAAATTAGTTGTAATTATTGTCCTACATTTTAATTTGTTTTACAGAGATGTTTCACAGCTGCCTGGGCCTAGTGGCCCACAGGCGGCGTTTATCCAGCAGCCAGAACATCCATCTGTGCCTGCCCCCAGGTCAAGATCTACCGTGGCTCAAGGGCCTTCACCAAAGCCATCACCACCAAGGACCAGCAGACCAGCATCACTACAGCTGCCTCCACCTCCATCTGCGGCTGCCACCAGGTCAAGATACACCTCAGCACAAAGGCTCCACCACAGCCATCACCTTCAACCCAGCCAGCAAGGAGGTCTCGTGGAGGTCTCGTATAGCACTTGTACACCCCACCTACACAGTAGCCCATGCACCATCACCCCCATCTTCACAGCAGCCAGACCCACTGTCTTGGAAGACAGACAAAGACCTTGACACTGTCTTGACATTTATAATGAGTAGTTGGTTGAAAGTTCTGATGCTCAATATTGTAAATAGTGAGATTTTCCAGTTTCTTATATTTATATAAATAGTTGGTTGAAAAAAACATATTTATAATAAATTGTTGGTTGAAAAAAAAGGTTGAATGCTCAATTTGTATTTGTACACATCACATGAACCTTGGTATGTAATATGAAGTCATTATTCAGTCCTAATGTATCTCAGTCCCTGCTGTGGTGAAAGTAGAGTGATAAACACCTGTTTTACTCAAAATTCGAATTTTATTTTTTTAATTTTAGACATGAATAACACATTTATATACAGTGTAATTCAAATATTTCACTGCTTTTGTGATCCTAAGACTTTGGTAACCAAATCTAAAACACCAAAACAATTCGATCACATGAGTACATTTGTGTTTTCACAAAAGTTTTGAAGATTTTCCGAAAATCGGATGTCACATTTTAAGCTTTTGAGCTACTTATCTCAACAGTGCTCTAAGGTGAGTAATTTGCATATATAGCAATACCGGAGATTGTCCTGAACATTTTGATATGTAACACAAGAGGTGCCATGTTAGAGGAAATACATTTAAAAGGTGATTTAAGAAAACATCTAAAAATCGAGAAAATACCCTTAGACTCCAGAGGGTAATGGCCTGGGGGCTAATCTTTTTTGACCAACCCATTTTTCACTATATTTGATATAAAGCGAGCCTAAAAACTTATTTGATTTTCCAAAATGTACCAAAAGCTACTAAATAGCACTGGTGAATGTTTGATTATATCAAGTTTTATCAATGCTGGAAACATTGGGAAACATTTTAGAAAAATGTTCCATAACTCCTGGGGGGCTAATAATTTAGGCCTCAACTGTATATGCTCCCCTTCTCCCTGTTTTTCCCACTTTCTGTGAACTGTATTTTGAGTTGGTTTAATGTAAAGCTAGTTTGATAAGCTCATGTCATTTTTACTCTTGCCTTTGTGGCAGCTGAAACGGTTTTAGAGGTAGGAAAGGAGTGTTATTGTTGTATCATTAAAGCTTGAACCTCTTTCTACTGCTTCATAATGTTTTACTTTTAGAATGGATGACCCTAATTTGAACTATGACCCTAGAGCTAACTGAAGAAACAATGAATACAAGTTTATATTCTAGGTGACATTCAGCACCCACAAAAGCAAAGACAATCAAAAGAAAATAATGTGCTTCATAAGTGCATACACTATTGAAAATAGAAGTTTGCAATTATCAACTGAGCTTAATAAAAGCCAAACAAGGAAGACACTTTTTTTGCATTTTCATACTGTTAATTGTTTTGTGTTGTTATTACAGTTTTCATGATACCCATTTTGAATTCAAGTCTAACCACATGTATTCAACAGACTGGAGGCACAGATCTGGTGGTACAATGTGTCTCCTTTTGCATATGCATTTAAGGGGAGATTGCACAATTAATATGATGTGACATGTAAACAGGGTTTGATTACTTTACATGTTACTTGTTAGACGCTTTTATCCAAAGCGACTCACATACTCAATACTGTGGAAAATCCCCACAGGAGCACTTTGGGGTGAAGTGTCTCAGGGACACAACGACATGCTGACTGCAGTGGGGTTTGAACCTGATCCGAACACCAACACACAACCCACTGCACCACACGCCTTTGATGATGTAGTCCTGTATTTCTGACATGAATGTCACAGAAGGAGAACACACACACACACACACACACACACACACACACACACACACACACACACACACACACACACACACACACACACACACACACACACACACACACACACACACACACACACACACACACACACACACACACACTCTCTTTGATCCCCTGAAAGCTGTCATTCACACTTAGCTCTGCTTCTGAATTATGCAGACTGTATACATTGGGCTGTGTTAACGGTCAGGAAATGTTGATGTTCTGCTGTGAAATCCTTCACATGCTTTTTAGTGTTCTGGGGGTGAAACAGCAGAAGTAATAAAGTGTGTGAGGGTGTGAGGAGGTGAGCGAGCAGCTGGGTCAGTCACAGGACATTTAGATTCTACAGGGGGCCACAGGGAGCTAACAGCCCATTAGAAGCTAATCACGCTTGGAGGAGCTATCGATCCTGCAGTACACATATACTATGAAGCCATAGAGTTACAGCAAGTGGATAATACTACATAGAGGCTCTCTGCAGGCAGCTAGGCAAGATCTGAATGGCTGAACCCTCCAACAACCAAGACAACCACAGCAGAAAACTTCATTCATATACTGTAGTTCTTTAAAAAGAAGAAAAAACGAAGAATGTGTGCTTGTAGGAAAAACACAGCAAAGGCTATCCAATAATGCTTGGCTATTTTAGGATGATACATAATTCTTATACAAAATGAAGATCATCCCCTGCATTACATGATGTAGTTATGGTATGCTAATAATTAGGTTAGTGGGAACGTCATGTTTCTGTTGTCAAATCTGGTAAAGATAGTAAGGCACAGAGCTGGAGTCAGGTTAGCCTAGCTTAGCATAAAGACGTAAAGCAGGGGGTAACTGGAAACACCTAGCATTAGCATGTTACTCATTGACTTATCAGTTAATCAGTTAATGCTAGCAGATTCTGCTAGTGTTAAACAGTAGCTAATTAGTGCTAACTGCTTCTATAGAATGTAAATGTGCAGGTGTGTTGGTGTTGGGAACCTTTCTAAAGTTCCATTGCTAAACAAAATGTAAGTTGTTTTAAGGTCAAATAATATTTTGTGTGGGTTTAACGTAATGCTAGTTTGATAAGGTCATATTATTTTTACTTTTGCTTTTGTGGAACTGAAGGATTTAGAGGTATTAGGATGGCATTAGTCAACTGCAAAAACATGTTGTAAACAACGGTATTATTATAGCATTGTTGCAGCTTGAACCTCTTACCACTGCTTGATCATTTCAAATTGCATCCCGAATAAACATGGAGGTCCTAATTTGAATTTAGACCCTATTTTGTTTTACTTGCTTGTCGCTTTGAGCACCAGGAAAAGCGCTTTATAAATGTAATGTATTATTATTATTATTGAAGAAAAACTTAGAGCTCAATAAAGAAACAATGACTACACGTTTATAATTTAGGGGACAATCTGCAGGCACAAAAACAAAGACAATCAAAAGATGAAGATGAATTCAAACTGGAAGACAATATTAAGAGTGAAAAGTAAACAGAGCAGGGAGAGGAAATGATAGAGTGTGAAATAAAAGAGGAGAAATGTCTTTCCACTCACCACGTTGATGCCTCCAGAGTTTTCCAGGCTGCACATCCCCTCCAGCGGTGCCATCCCGATAGTCGTCCCCTTGAAAATCACACCGCTATGGGAGCCACACACACACACACACACACACACACACACACACACACACACACACACACACACACACACACACACACACACACACACACACACACACACACACACACACACACACACACACACACACACACACACACACACACACACACACACACACACACACACACACACACACACACACACACACACACACACACACACACACACACACACACACACACACACACACACACACACACAAATCACTTAACCTTAATCTCCTCCCTGTTCACTTACAGGCTCCACAGTGGATGCACATTGATTGCAGATGCAACAGCAGGGCACAGACCTGACGAGTGTGTGAGATGTGTGTGTGTGTGTGTGTGTGTGTGTGTGTGTGTGTGTGAGTGTGTGTGATGAACCTCGATCCACCGCATGGCATCCACAAACAAACTGAAGCGGGTCTGATGAATCATTACAAAACAGGCCCTTTGGTATTAACACAACTAATTATGGAGCAAAAGGGGCTAACAATGTACTGCTTATGGATGTGAGTGTGTGTATGTGTGTGTGTGTGTGTGTGTGTGTGTGTGTGTGTGTGTGTGTGTGTGTGTGTGAGTGTGTGTGTATGCCAGCAGTCAGACTGAGATGCTGCTGCGTTGTTTGGCCCAATTACAGGCGACTGAAGCGAGATCTTTTGCTTAATACAATCTCTGTCAAACTAATCATTTGTCAATTGATACACTAACGAAATATGAAAGGACCTGACCCAAAGCTGGGTGTTTCTGTCATCAGTCACACAGAGGCTCACTGGGAGGGGGGATGTGGAGTTAATCAGCGTTTCGATCAGGCATTTGTGAATCTATTTTGTATTTGTCAACCAAAAATGCGCTTGTGGATCTCAAATCTCTGCTTGTGGATCGTCTTTTTACACACACATGGGCCCTTTCTCATTTCACAAATTACCCCTCCTCGACTCCTCGGTCCTCCGGTAGTGACAACATTTAGCCTTACTGAAGGCTAACCTAAATACGGTGCTTTTCTACAGATAACCTTACCACTGCACTGGTAAGGTAAAACTAGGCCGATTAATAAGATGTGAAGTGCTTTGTAACTTTGACCCGCTTGAATGAATACACACAAAATATGAAGAAAGAATTATCTCTGGGGCTGCTTCGCTGCTAGCTGTAGCCCCCCGGGACCCGAAAGTGGCGTAGCCTAAGTAGCCTACAACATCAATCCATACGAATGTGCTCGAAATAGGCTGTATTGAACAAATAAACTAACACAAACTAACTGTATCACTATAACATGATGGTGATAAAGAATGCACCTAACGTACATTAAACGTACGAAACGAACGTACGTTCATTAAAGTAATACAAAAACGGCACATTAAACAAACCATCATGCTCTTACTTTGAAACCTTGAAATCCGGAAATGTCATCATCAACCGAGTGACACGAGCAGATTTCGGTCGAGACCGGCGGAAAGTTTGTCTCAAAACTCTGTGGCCCTTTCTCATTTCACTAATTTCCCCTCCTCGCCTCCTCGACTCCTCGGCCCTCCGGTAGTGACCCGGAAATGGATTTCAGCGCGCCATGTTGAAGGACATCTCATTTCTCTAAATGCACTTCGAGGACCGAGGAGCTATAATCGAGGATACACTGATGGTTCCTCCACGCCAGTCCGCGGATGTATTTCCGGGAACGGTGGAGTCGTGACTCACGGACGGACTTATCTCAGCCAATGACAGCTCTGCATGCATCCCCTGGATATTATTTTATTAACTGCTTTCATCGCATGCAATGTTTACAGTGAGAACAGCTGTGAGGTCCGTGCATATATCCAGTCTCTGATTGTGTTATGTTATTATGAGAGCGCTCTCATACTTGTTTGAATCTGAAATTGTATATATTTATATAAATATATATATTTAATATAATATAAATATATATATTTAATATAATATATTATTATTACTTTTTGTTTTGTTACTTCCCATTGTAAAGCGTCCTTGGGTTTCGTGAAAGGCGCTATATAAATTGAAATTATTATTATTATTATTAATACACACTACCGCCGCCTGCTGGTCAGGAGAGTTATTGCCACTCACGCATGCGCAGTTCGTACGTGCAACTTGGCCGTCGGCTGAAGTCTTTGCGGTGTGTTCCAGTGCGACTGTTGGCCAAGACTGATTGATTGAAAAGTTTATTAACAGCTTGTATATTGGGTACAGTACAGTACAGCTCAAAACATACAATTGTTAAGAGGATGCAGACCAGAGAAAGACTTTCGTCTTGTTTACATCAGGGTCCCCCATTTCCAATTCATCATGTCGCAGGAGACGTGAGGCGACACAACAGTCGGGTCCGCCGGTTCGTGTTCTTTGGTGTCAGATTGGTGTGTAGGGGCCTTTACTCCTAAGGAATACCATCTGCTCATTCATGTCCACAATACAAGTATGCTGTTTTTTGTTGCGTTGTCCGATGTCCAAGGACAGAGGGTGTCTTATTCATATTCTGTACAAACTGTAAAGTCCACTGAGACAAATGTAAAATGTGTGATATTGGGCTATATCAAAACACTTTGATTGATTGCCTACATTATTTGCTCTTAACTTTTCTGTGTCTCTTTGTGAGGCTACATCACTGAGCACGATCAGTGTTTTTAATAGGAGCGCGCTGCACTCACAACAGTGGTCTGCAAATACGTTTATAATGCAGTATAGACGTTAGTCAGATTTTTACGTAAAGAAATTAACTTGAATAAGATTGAAATGTTTGCTCTAATAAAACTACTGTAATTCAAATGTAATGAAAACTGTACCTGGTTACTAGACCTCTGGTGTTAGTGAGGGATTGTGAGGAAGGTGAGAACAGACACTCAGAGCTTGTGATGTTAAATGTTGCATGATTAATTAAGATGCACAGATGTTCATTTTTCAGGTGATTTTATCATCTGTGTTCAGTGGACCGCTGCAGTTCACTGTGAGTCTTGGAGCTTCTCATTGGTGACACTGTCTGGGTATATCATGCATTAGAAACATATTTATAATGTGGCTTAAGCACTGATTATTAATTCAAGCAGTAATGCTACTTTTATCATTTTTGAATCATTTCGATCATAAATCTATCGATTAGATTTATGATTCAAAAATTATAAAAGTAACAAAACGTGATCTGTCTCTTCAATGTGTGTCAACCAGAGACCTTATTTCGAGCTATTTTCCAAAATCCTATGGAGAAATTGCATTGGTTTTTGTCGCAGGAACCGGAAGGAGTTTACTTCCGGGTGTTAGGACGCGTCACTCTATAGAATCTAGGGGAAGTTCCTAAATCCATTTTAACATTAACATTGAGGAGTGAGAGTGGTGCGCACTCTGAAAACGGAAAACTACGCTTTTTGCAATAAATATGAAGATGGATTATCAGTAATCATTTAAAAGGGACACAGACACATTGGATTAACCATTGGATTAACCTTCAGCAGCGTTTTTATCGTTTTAATGCCATTGAACACAACTTTTGATAAAAAAGCAGCAAAGGTAAGACATTTGCCGTTTTGGCTCAGTAAAGCTAGGTTGTGTGTTGTCTGGGTTTGTCTTCGCTGTCCTGAGTTTTGATCGCACAGTGCTGATACTTATACCTCTAGAATATGTGGAATATTCTGATATCTTGTTTGTGCAGATCCGATAAGTAATAAAGTATTTATACCGTGAGTTCTGTGCTAAGTGCGTTAGCATTTTTTCTCTCAGGGCTAATTCAGAGGCTCGGCGTTAGACTTGTGTTTTATTTCGGTAAATATGTTCATATCGTCAGTTAGCTGAGTTTCTTCCCGTTAAGTGGGTATGACACAATTTATAGTTTGTTAAATATTAAGCCCGGGGGCTGCCAGGCTTAACAGGTTAAAACTGTTTTTTTAATACGGAGGGAAATGGGCAGCCCACAAAACATTTACTGCGTTTTTAGTATTCAAATTCATATTTCTATTTGGGGATTAGTAGGCACTCCAGAAACCTTAATGTATATGTACAAGCACAACAAAGTTATTCATGATATGTCCCTTTTAAACTTGTATTCATTCTAATGGTCTAAAGTGCAGTTCTATATGTCTATGACAAAAGGAGCACACAGCTTGCTTCCAAAGTAATATGTTCCCAGAGGTTTATGGTCTCAATAGCTAGTTCCAAGTCTCCAAGAATAATGTATTTACAGTCAATTAGACAATGAGAGTTAGGGCGTTACCGCGGTGTTGTGGGGTTTGAGTCTCATCAGTGTTTTATTCTTTGAAGTTAATTCTATTGCTGGTGTGTTTTCTGTTCATGAAAATGAATTGTTACATCTTGTTTGCCTAACATGGTCAGGGTTCAACTGTACTTAGTTACACCCTCTTGTGACACTGATAGAAAAATAACCTATATGGAAATGGCAAAAAACTAGGCACTAGTGCACAAACCATTTGGTGACATCACACTGACAACTTGCAATTCTTATACTGTATGTAAATCAGTTTAAAAAAAAAAAATCCGGTTTAGCTTTTCAAAAAGAAAACAAAATCAGAACAGGTTTTTTATGACCTAAAACTGTTTTAATGGCCAAGATCCGATGACACTTTTAAGTTGATATAGCAAACTTGTAGGTACACAGCCAAAAAGCACTGATATATATTATTCTTCGAAACTACAGAAGCAATCTTAGGCTTCAAATCTATTTTCCTCAACTAACAGAACTTGTATGACCACATTAATTGTGTTTTGGGCTAGGAGCGCTGCAGGAATGCTTCAGCAGGAGCACAGCTGAACAGATGTGAGGAGGACTCACAGCTGCTGTGCTGACATGATGGCTGTAGTTTAGCTTTACTTGTGTGTGTGTGTGTGTGTGTGTGTGTGTGTGTGTGTGTGTGTGTGTGTGTGTGTGTGTGTGTGTGTGTGTGTGTGTGTGTGTGTGTGTGTGTGTGTGTGTGTGTGTGTGTGTGTGTGTGTGTGTGTGTGTGTGTGTGTGTGTGTGTGTGTGTGTGTGTGTGTGTGTGTGTGTGTGTGTGTGTGTGTGTGTGTGTGTGTGTGCGCATTGCTCACGTCAGCAGCTGGGCGTTGTCGTGTTTCTTGCGGGACTTCAGCTTCTGTCTCCACTGGAGGAAGGACCAGAGCGTGGCGTTGGGATCCTCGTTGACGATGCACTGGTCTCTGTCCGTCCACACCTCCAGACCAATCAGAGGCACCCGGATGTTCAGAGCCCTGTAGAACTAAACACACCACAAAACAACAACAGATATGTACCTGCATACACAATCTTGTCATGAGCTCCAATAACACAGTCTGGTCACACAAGGCAATTTTCTCCGATCTCCCTTTAAGGGCTGTTGAAGGACAATATTGATTCAATTCTCACGGGCTTTCATACAACAAGATTTTGTATACACTGTTCAATACCTAATTATTGATTTGGAACGTCAACAATCTTCAGATATGGTTGGTAATAGATGATATGAAGATGTGTGGGGACAGTGTCTATCAGTTGTTGAATGGGGCTGTTTGTTCTCTTGAATTGCAGTCTGAGCCCATCAGCCTTACCTTATCCACGTAATTGGCAATTTCCATTATCCTGTTCTTGGTTTTTTCATAGTCCTTATTCTGCCGCTTAAACTGCAGGACAGAGAGAATGGGGGAGTATTAGAGGCAGGAATGAGGTCAGCAGTCAGAAAAATAAATAAAATCTTGAAGATCATTCTTTGAAAAGCTCCCTGCAGAGAATAATGATCCATGAAAACATAACTATAACCCCACCATTCCCGCTTCACCACTTAAACCCTGCTCCATCATCATAATTACACCACTTACACAATGGACCAGACTCCTTTTGGTCGCCATGTGCGGTTACCATGGCATTAATGTAGAAGACAAACCGCAACTGGCTTTTATGAAGATATTGCATCTCCTCACTGCAGCTCAGTGTCTATTTAAACCCCTTCCACCTTTAGATTCCAACTGAATACATGGCATTAAGCAGACAAATCCTTCTGCCTAATTTCCACATGCTTCTGCCTCGCTGTGCCTATCATCGCTTCAGAGCTCTCAGCATGAATAAGCTCTATTAGCTGGAATAGGATCATTGTTAAAGACGTGGACATGTTTCCATTCTGTTTGATGGCTGTGTGACGTCAGTGGAGGTCTCACGCTGATGGACCAGAGTGAGGCTGTGGAACATAAGAGTGGAGGGCTCCTGTCAGCTTACCAGAGTGTTGTCGGCCACAATGTACAGCTCCATGTACTTGGTGGTCCCTCCGGTATCCCTCTTCACCTGACAGAACACACAGAGGCAGGAACATGGTTAGACAGGACTCTAGTGAAGCGTAACCTATCAACTATACTATACAGTGCTATAATATACTATGATGTTGCCCGTAAACTTGGAATCATTTGGTTTTCAGACAAACTCCTCTTTTTATTCCTATTTCATTTTCACTGTGATATGTTTGGAAAAGATTGATCAATAAAGTTCGGAGAAGATATACACATTATCTATCAAGAATAAATCACATAGTCACAATTATTTCAAGAGGTAAAACATTTCCCCCAACTTTATGGTATAATTCTATACTCTATTGTTCTATAATAAACTATATTACACTGTACTATAATGTACAGTATCATGCTATACTAGACTATTATAATATACTCTATTATCATATACTTTACTGAATATACTCAGTTTACTACACTGTACTTTGCTGTTATGATATTCTACACTGTATGAGAATACACTATATTACTTTACTACACTGTACCTTTTTTAAAGATATATTTTGGGCGAGAGAAACGCCTTTATTAGAGATACACAGTTGAAAGGGGGAATATAGGGGCTGACTGGAGATCTCCACAGGTTGTAGTCTAACCCGTACCTGGCATCGGACGGCTATATAATTTACTATGCAAGAATATTATATATATAACTTTACTACACTTTCATTGTATATACTACATTACAATTTAGTACAATTCAATAATTGACTATTATATTTCACTAAAATGTGCTACATCATACTTCATTATAATTTGCTACACTGTATAATAATACTGTATTATATGATAATATATTTCATTTTACTCAACTTAAATATCATATACAATGCCACACCATACTATTTTACAGTGGTGAACCGTCAGGGCCTTCAAGGTATTCAGAGAATACCCTGGAACACTCAGATAAAACAAACAAAAAATCGATTTAATTATATAAATAAAATGTAATAAAATGAATAAATGAGAATGGTATCTGTGTTGTTGATCTGTAATATTACAGTGTTACGTTGATTTGTCTGTCCTTCTCGGACCATGCACTACGCATTTCAGTGGTTTTGTGTTAGAAAAGAAATTAACCAATCAGATCTTGTCCTTCAACAAGGTATTCTACATCCTTGATTGAATGCCCTGGCCGTTGCACTGAATGAGAGCGTACGTTTGGACTGACAGTTTGATCAACCAATCATATATTGATTTGTAGTCAATGGGCGTATTCTTTCAGAGTTCCCCTCGGTTCCAGGGTATTCTAGAAGGCCCGCTAGTTCACTGGCTAGAGACAGAGGATCTAGAATGCGACGAAGCAATTCATGCCGATTTATTGTTTTTAACCTTGAAATGACAAGTGCAACAGGTGAAGATGAAGTTGTTGTGAAATTGTTGTGAGTATCCTTTTCAAGACGACAATTCAGTGAAAAGACGGACATTATAATGCCACGGAGGGGGGTGTGTGTGTCTACAGAAGATCCAGTTGTGATAGACACGGTTCGCCGCTGCTATTTTATACTACCCTACACCGTATTATAATGTAAAACATGTCATTATACTACACTATTCAATGTACAATATAGTTTATTATACTGTGCAAAGCCATGGGCCGCTTCTTTCTGGTATTGAGTTAACAGGATGAATTACAGAATGGCGTACCGGGCGCAGGGCCAAAGTGTCAAGATCCAGTCTTGCCTTTATTTACATAATGGCCCTCAAAGAGACACAAATTGACCAGTGAGACATGCAAATGACCACAAGGAAATATAAAACGACAACAAAGAGAATCAAAGCAACTGCAAAGAGACACAACATCACCACACTGACACAATGAACACAAAATGGCCACAAAGAGATTCAAAATGAGACTCAAAATGACCCAAACAACACATTTGTTACGACTCTGAAGAGATGCAAAATAACAGGAAAAGAAGCAAAAGTCCCACAAAGTCTGCGTGTGTTTATATGTAGGACAGAGGGGGGGGGAGGGCTTTGGCATGTCTCTGCCCGGGGCCCAGTGTTTCTTTATCCATCCACGGGGCCAGCATTCTGTACTGGCATGTACACTTTAAATATGTGTTGGGTTGTTATTTGAAAAAAATGATCAAAGGAAAAATCTTTAAATAACTGTTTAGGAATTGGATTGAATTTTAGGGCAAATGTTTTTTTCACCATTAACAATTATTATATAAGTTATAACGCTTTAAGTCCAAGAAGGACTCTTATACATGTGACGACCCCTCCACATCACGTGGGGTGGTGTGTTTGTGTGTGTGTGTGGTTTGTTCAGGTTGTTTCAGGTGCTGATGAGCCGCACCTGTGGGTGGATGCCTATCTGATGAGCTACACCTGGTGGAGCGGGATAAAGGAGGAGCCCAGCCGGTTGCGTCGCTCTCACTCCTTTGGGCACTCTCTCTGCGCCAGCTTCGGGGACCTGATGCTGGTGCCCATTTAGTGTTGTGTTGAAACAAATAAACTATATATTCTTACCTCTCGTCTCGTCTCCCTGTTTTATGTTACAGCCCATGAGCCGGGTTGTAACATACATCTACTGTATTACAATCAACAATATGACTCATGAAAAAGGTTACTTCACAGCATTCATGAAATATTTATTTCATACTTGTAGCTATTTATCTTACTCTAAAAATCCCTGTGAGGTGGGTTTTATTAGTATGATCCTATCATAGCTTATTTTCTGAGATTTTTTAAACTCTACATTATTAAATTATTATGAACACATTTCATTCATGAGGAGTCAAAAAGGCAGAACTTTATGTACAGACACAAAGTACAACACAACAGAACAAAATATGAAGTTTTCCCAGTGAAATATTGTCATTTACACACTACAGGTGTGAACTATTTAAGAACTACAGGTTCTTAGTGTATCTTTATCTTGATACTGCAGACATTCTTCAACACTAACTAGAACACAATTCTGCTGGAAATACTGCACATATTAATGTGAAATGTAAAGACTAACGCATGTAAGCAGGTAGTGGTGTCAGTAGAGCAGAGCAGAACAAAGCCAGGAACTGATATTGACCTAGTAAAACTGTTTAACACAGTATGAAAGCTTAAATATATGGGAGTTGCCACCCATGCTGTTGTGTTTAAAAGCTTTACGACTTCTTATATCCCTCCATTATTAAATGTCCATCCTCGTAATAATCGATTACAGCCATTAGGGAAAGGCTCTGCTGATTAAAACTCATTGATTTACGTGCTGCCTGGACTCAGTCTGGACTTAACACTAATATTGGCGGGGAATCTGTGGCACCCACCGGCGCATTCACACATTGCATTGTTTATGTGAGAGGCAAATAGTGGCAGAAGCCCTGGGACTCAGTCTGCTGTTTCTGCATAACAACAGAGGATTAATGGGGGCAGAGCGGGGGGAGCCAAGGGGTGCAGAGCAGCAGGGAGAAAAACAGAACATTTGGGAAAAGGATGACGCCCCGGTGGAGAGCTGAGAGGGTTTTAGCATGTGAGGCGGGGAGATAGATGGTGATGATGAACACTTTAACATGATTGAGAACTTATAATGGGAAATGATGAATATGAGGAGAAAAAGCAAAGAATGGGTCGCAGCAGTGGAGACCGATGAAGGCACAAGGGCCCACCGCGGTCCCTTTGATCATCTATAACGGCAGATGAGCTAATTCAACTGGTGTTTTTTTACTCTATAAAGGCACAGGGAATTGACTCACAGCCATGGCCTGCCCTAAACAGAGCTGAAAGGCTGAGACAAAGCTATAATTCGCACCATTTCCAGGTGCAGCCAGAGTCATTTGGCGCCCCGAAATACCACCAAGACCTTTTCAATACTGTGTTTGCATATGACAAAGACCATTTCTGCTGCAGGGCCAAATGCTCTCATGTGGCCGGAGATTTCATTTAGCTGTGTGATAAACCAAAGCCTCTCAGTCTGTCACATTGGTGTCTTTCCAAAGTTCTCCCTGTGAAATTCCATTTCTTTACAAACAACCTGATACCATTACCAATAACACAACACTTATAAAGTAATACCGATACCGTTAAAGTATTTCATTTGATACATTTTTGTCTGCTTTATTCTCCCCTCACATACAAACATTCTGTTGCCAACCAACCCACTTGCATGAGTCAAATGTAATGAGGTACTATACATTATTTTAATTTAATGCTGCATTATAATTATTCTCCACTTTATTTTGAAAGCCAATATTTCACGTTGTACTACCCTATATTCATCTGACAGCTTTAGCTTCTTAACAGATACAGATTATCAGCTAATACAAAACACAAATCAACTTATATCATATTATAATTATATGTTTAAATACCCAGCAGCATTATATAAAGTAACTCCACATTAATGCATCAATAATAATAATAATTCATTCATTAATATATATGGCTCTGAAATTGACTATTGCGCATGACATACTTTTACTTTTGGTGTATTCAGATGTCAATACTTTTGTACTTTTACTTAAGTAAGACTTTAAATGCAGGACTTTTACTTGTGACAGTGTTCTTTGCAATTCAGTTTTTCCACTGCTCCTAAATATCTGAGTACTTCTTCCACCTATGGCAGGAGTTGGAGCTGCTGCGATAATGGGCCAATCATAGGTCGCAATAAATAAAAGAACACTTGCAGTGATTGGCTGCGAGCTAAACTACACAAATAGTCATTTCTTTCTGCAAGAATCATTTTGACTGAAAATGTTTTTATAATATTTGGTACCTGGTTACTGGGTAAGGTGTTACCTCTACCATGCTCCACTGAAAGGTGGGGAAGACTTTAGAAGACCCAAAACACTGAGCACTTTGTGGAGCCGTTTGACTGTATGTGCTGCATCACAACTGAACATGGGCTCTTGAAGCATTTTCAGATTACCTTTCTTTGAATCAATCAATCAATCAATGTTTATTTATACAGTCCAATATCACAAATGTTACATATATCTCAGTGGATTTCACAGTTTCTACAGAATATCAGTATGACAATACGACACCCTCTGTCCTTAGACCCTCACATCGTACAAGGAAACACTTCCGAAGCAGTTTGTTGTGTGCATGCTTGGAATACTCTTGAGGAATCAGCAGGGAACAGCTTCTAAAGCTGTGTCCCATCCTCTACATACATCCATGATTAAAACCAGAATGTAACACACAGGTTTCACAAGGCTGTTTCAAGAGCTATAGTCATGAGAGTTGAGTTGAGCTGAGGTCATCAGATCTATAAGATCAGCTTTCTGTGACAAAACTCTGAAATAAGATGACCAAATAAGCCTGGTTCAACACAAAGGCACCAGCCGGGAAATATGGATTTATTTAGCCGTTAAATGGCAAAACCCCTGAGCAAACTTCATATTTTGGCTGTGGTATTGCAGCAGAAATCATTTTTCCAATGTTTTTGACAGACTTATATTTTGGGAATCCACTTGTTCGTCATTGGATTCAGAGAGATGCAATTGCTATTGATCTTTTCTTCTGTGTTTGGGCCAGACAGTAAACTATTGTTTTTTAAATGTAAAGTTAGTGTTGAAGACAACATCAACAATATCTTTATATCAGAAAAACAGCCCTAATATGGTCTTATTATGGTTTCTATAAAATGAGTGTGTGCGAGACTCACCCTGGAATGGAACTGTCCCAGCAGGTTGGAGATGTGGTTGTAATGCGGGGTGGGATGGCCGTGTCCACAGCTCCCTCCTTTAATTGGCAGTTCCTCTGCCCTCCACAGTGAGTGGTGGGGAGGATCCACACCACTGATTGGCTCCAGGTAGTAGGTGTCACTGGAATTCAAGGATATCAGGCCCCTGTGTGGAGGGAAAATGACAGGAAGAGGACTTAAGGCTGGTGAGCTTGCTCAAAACTCCATACAGGATAATGGAGATTTCCAGGAGAGTTTAAGTTCTGCCCCCAAGAGACCGAAAATAAATCAATGAAAGTAGTTGAAGTATACAATTGACAGTAAATAACGACATGTCCTTTTTTTTTATAGGTTTATTATAATGTTATTTATCTGCCAGTTTATGGAGCTATAAACAAGCCCCGGACTGGAAGTTGAAGCACAATTTCATAGTGGCCATCAGCGGTACTACAACTTCCGTGTCTATCCTTGACGTCATTGGGCTCAAAAATATTCTTTCCGATTGGTTTACAATGAGAACGAGACATCGGTAGATCAGCGTATTATTATTTTTTAGCTGAATCAAATTTCCATTACGATCAATTGACAAGCAACTTTCATAGGAATGAACATGGCCCTGCCTTTGACACGGTCTCCAGTTCTCTTTGGTTCTAAATGCTAGCATGGTCTAAAACGATCTAGATACATTGTTTTATTACCATCATATATCGGTGGAGAAGTATTTTTGTCGTCAATTGCAATTTTTGAATCCAAAAGATCGATAAGTGCACCAGTGAAACAACTGTCCTCCAAAGACTTCTCTCTCGCATTACACTGACATAATGCCACCTATTTTTTTGTGTGCATGCAGACAAAAGAAATGATGGAAACTGGGGGCCATCATCCCAACTCGAACGGGTCCTCCCATCATCTCCTCTCTGTGATGGCAGATTGTTGTACCACCCTTGAATGTGGACATGTGGAAGAGGTATAAACACTTTTACTTTGAGACAAGGTCGCAGGACACTTTGTTCCAACTAGATCAATTTAAACATACTAAGGCTTTTAAGCTAGTTAGCAAGGTTTCAGAAAAGTGTCTAATGGATACCTTTGGCTCCCTCCATCTGTTACCTGACCCCTGTTCTGCACCTTGTAGCGCCCCCCTGAGAGGAGAACGTATTATTTCCCGTGACACCTTGTTTGTTTGTGCGTTGACAAGTCGGCCAGCTCCACCTACCTAATTTCCATAGTGAGATCACACAGTCTGCTTGTCCCTTTTATATCGACAGGCATTCAACACGGGGAAAATAATGATATATGAACGGCGAGACAACCATGACAGATGATCATTCTAGTCATGTCAAAAGCATATTGATGGTGAACATGGAGAATGTTAATATTAACGGACGGAATATGTTCCCTCTTGTTTTTTGTTCAGCATTTTAAGTAGGGAATAATCATGCTGTACGTTATGGAATGACACTTACTGAAAATGCTTTGGGGGCCATGGAGTGAGTTATCTGAGGGATACAACTTGACACCCGTTGTTTTTATATATATTATATATTTAATTACATAATTAAATTGACCCTAGTAAAAGTATGCTGGATCAGCTATTCGAAGTTCCTGATAGCTGTGTATCCATACAGACAACTACACTGGATTACTTTGATAATGAGCTCATTTCAAGAGAACATACTACACTCATTTCCAGGTTCGTATCAGTCTGTAGTGTCTCTACTTTAAAGAGTCCTCTCCTGCTGATGTTCAGGTGTATATCAGTATGTAGTGTCTCTTCTTTAAAGAGTCCTCTCCTGCTGATGTTCAGGTGTATATCAGTATGTAGTGTCTCTACTTTAAAGAGTCCTCTCCTGCTGATGTTCAGGTGTATATCAGTATGTAGTGTCTCTACTTTAAAGAGTCCTCTCCTGCTGACGTTCAGGTGTATATCAGTATGTAGTGTCTCTACTTTAAAGAGTCCTCTCCTGCTGATGTTCAGGTGTATATCAGTATGTAGTGTCTCTACTTTAAAGAGTCCTCTCCTGCTGACGTTCAGGTGTATATCAGTATGTAGTGTCTCTACTTTAAAGAGTCCTCTCCTGCTGATGTTCAGGTGTATATCAGTATGTAGTGTCTCTACTTTAAAGAGTCCTCTCCTGCTGACGTTCAGGTGTATATCAGTATGTAGTGTCTCTACTTTAAAGAGTCCTCTCCTGCTGATGTTCAGGTGTATATCAGTATGTAGTGTCTCTACTTTAAAGAGTCCTCTCCTGCTGATGTTCAGGTGTATATCAGTATGTAGTGTCTCTTCTTTAAAGAGTCCTCTCCTGCTGATGTTCAGGTGTATATCAGTATGTAGTGTCGCTACTTTAAAGAGTCCTCTCCTGCTGATGTTCAGGTGTATATCAGTATGTAGTGTCTCTACTTTAAAGAGTCCTCTCCTGCTGATGTTCAGGTGTATATCAGTATGTAGTGTCTCTACTTTAAAGAGTCCTCTCCTGCTGATGTTCTGGTGTATATCAGTATGTAGTGTCTCTACTTTAAAGAGTCCTCTCCTGCTGATGTTCAGGTGTATATCAGTATGTAGTGTCTCTACTTTAAAGAGTCCTCTCCTGCTGATGTTCTGGTGTATATCAGTATGTAGTGTCTCTACTTTAAAGAGTCCTCTCCTGCTGATGTTCAGGTGTATATCAGTATGTAGTGTCTCTACTTTAAAGAGTCCTCTCCTGCTGATGTTCAGGTGTATATCAGTATGTAGTGTCTCTACTTTAAAGAGTCCTCTCCTGCTGATGTTCAGGTGTATATCAGTATGTAGTGTCTCTACTTTAAAGAGTCCTCTCCTGCTGATGTTCAGGTGTATATCAGTATGTAGTGTCTCTGCTTTAAAGAGTCCTCTCCTGCTGATGTTCAGGTGTATATCAGTATGTAGTGTCTCTACTTTAAAGAGTCCTCTCCTGCTGATGTTCAGGTGTCTATCAGTATGTAGTGTCTCTACTTTAAAGAGTCCTCTCCTGCTGATGTTCAGGTGTATATCAGTATGTAGTGTCTCTACTTTAAAGAGTCCTCTCCTGCTGATGTTCAGGTGTATATCAGTATGTAGTGTCTCTACTTTAAAGAGTCCTCTCCTGCTGATGTTCAGGTGTATATCAGTATGTAGTGTCTCTACATTTTCTCATACTGCTGCAGCACCTCTTTTCACCCTGTCTGAAACCAGAGCCCAGTCTGCTCTTCAGCTGGGATCAAATTAAATGTTGTTCACAGTTCAGTTATTAGGGTCCACAGTGTTTAGGTCAACTCTCTAGTGGTAACATTATCTAAACTTTATAACCATTTGCTAAAAAATGTAACTTCAGACAATGGTATCCCATAACACTACAGGAAGGGGAAAACACAAAAAAGCAAAGGAGGACCTCTTTAAAAACAAGATTGACAGGCAAGTTCTGGTGTTATACTATATAATATTTCTAAAGTGACTTATAGAGTGCACTTACACTAAGGGGTTGAGAGAAACTTCATTGCTTATTAACAGTTTGAAAAGTTAATGTATATAGATACGGGTCACAGGTTGTCAGGCGGAAAGGGGGTCTTAAAACAAGTTGTCTATGCTGAAAAAAGACACTGAAAAAATCTAAGATATAAGCAGGGGGAGGGAGAGATGATGCATGGCCGAAGTTTAGTCCTCTATCCATCCTTACAGAAAATGGTGATGATGCACAGTGCATCCGGTTGACTTAGAATACACAGAGCAGAAAAAAGCAATATCAAGCAAAGACATTCATTCTGCAACAGTGCTGTCTGGGGCAACATCCAACGATGTGTGTATGAGTGTGTGAGAGACTAAGAGGCTCCATCTCTTCATCAGACACTAGCTTGAACTTTTGTTTTTATGATGATCTTATACTGACTATATTTCTCACTGAACTCTCGTCCGTCAGAATGAAGCTGAAGCCTGAGTTCAGTTAGGAAGACTGGCTGTACATTCACTCACTCCACAGCTGCATATAGAGTGGTGCAGTGACAAGTCCTAAAACCCTCGTCTCAGAGCCAATGGGATTTCTCCATAGGATTTTGGAAGATAGCTGGAAATAAGGTCTGTGGTTGAGACACATTGAAGAGACAGATCACGTTTTGTTCTACGACATAAAATACATCAGCAGTGACCCCACTGTTGATTTCTGAAGTTTACGTGTCTGAAAAACGATGGTTGTTACCAAGTGGCTGAATAGGACTACAGAAATGGTCGAGGACGTTGCACCTCATAACGCCGAACACGTAAACACTCCTCTAAGTTTGTTTGCCCTGTTCTGCTTGAAAGCAAGTACCTGCGCTCTTGCAAACTGTTAGAACAAACACTTCAACTTGTACCATTTACAATCTGTATTTTTTAATATGGATCTTAAAGTGGACCTATCATGCTATTTGAGACATATATTGTAGGGCCATACCTATACAAAACATGTCTGTGAAGTTTTTTTTTCAAAATACCAAACAGTTCACCCATTGTAGCCATGCCTCATACTGCTCAAACCCCTCTTTTGAAGCCCTGTTAAAGAAATGCGGTTCTTGGGTCCTTAGCTTGAAAAAAAAGAAAGAAGAGGAGGCGGAGCTAATGCCTGATCAGAATTCTACCGGAGATAAAGTTAAATTCTGCTGTGATAAAACGCAATCCTGTTCTAACTACATCAAGGATTATTTCTGAAACAGTGTGGAGCTAAAATGCTTTTTCTCTTGCAGGTTTATCACAAGGTGAGTTCTTTTTTTATTTCCTGCTTTTTAAACATGTGCTCTCCAGTACAGGTTAGCTCTGAGTGTTAGCGAGGCTAGCTAATGTAAACAAAGACGAGATTACGTCCAAAACACGTCAGGAATTGTTTCTGATAGCAACTTTCTGTGAGTCCGGATGGAATCTGTATCCGCTCGTTCTACACCCGTTTTTCAAATATTTGGGTACGGAGGAAAAGAGAGAGGGTTTTATTTTCTGACGCTGCGTGAGTTCCCTGACGCACCAGGGACACATGTTTATGTATAAAATATATCACAAAGTGCATTTTGCATGATAGGTCCCCTTTAAGTTGGCGTGACGTTGAAGTCGTGCGACCCTGCTGTAGTTCGTTTATAGCATAACGTTAGCATTTTGCTTCTGGCGATTAGATTTATGATTAGAAAAAGATAAAAGTAGGGTAGACA